GAGCTGCAGGGCGGTTTAATCTGGTCATTTACAGCCACAAGATAGCCAGCTCAGCGTGATTCTACCAGCCCATGGTAGGGCTTTGTGAGCCTACAGTGAAAATAACAAAGGTCCGGCTGCTGAGGACGTGTTGCTCTCTGAGGTATTAGTGCAGAAATAGCGTATAAACGAAGGCAACAATCATATTTCATTTGCTAGGGCTTAGCGACATAGTTGGCAGCGAGTCATAGGATAGGTCCTCCTGCCGACAAAGATCAAATCGTGTGAACAAATGTAAGGCAAACAATTACTCGCACTCCAAGGATATAGGAGGACGGCATCACCATGACAGTGTCACAAGCAAAGCAAAAGAGCTACTGAGAGAGTCAAGAAAATTGAAATAACACAAGTTGAGACGGAAAAAAGATAAAAGAGAAAGTAATGATCCATAGCATCTTCAGATGAGCTCACTCTCGCCATCAGCATGTGAAATTTAAGCTTTCCTGTAGCCTGAGAAGTCGCCTGCAAGCCGAACGAATCTATGGGCATTCCATTAATCATCAAATGACATAGCTTTGACAGCTAAGGATCAATTCGACAGGTGTCAAATGCATGCCAGACCACTACCACTCCCGCTTTGCTTCACGGAGGACCATATTCCTGCCAAGGATACTGGATATGTTCACCCCACAAATGGCACAGTCATTACTTGGACCCCTGGGAAGGTAACGGTGATATCTTAATATAGATATATGTATTGTGGAAGGGAGATACGAGGTTCGAGGAATAGTTTCCATCTTCCACCATTTGGCTGAGACATGTTTCCATTGATGCTACCCTGAAGGTGCGGGTTTGTCATGCCCAAAAAGACGGTCAACAACTCGAGCGGCCTCTCAGGTCACCGAAAGATGTTCGAGTGGCCCAACAGTGCTGCGAACAGTCGTATCCCGGGCTTTTGCGAGAGCTGCAAGGTTCTGGTGCCACCCAGACTAGCGTACAACGCAACGTTACCGCAATCAGTCGTAGTTTCCCCCTACCTGGCTCGCAAACGCCGTAGAAACGCTGCGTGTGTCGTCATCATCAATGATATGACCTGGTACACCACGAGTAACACGAATGCTGGCTGAGCTTCCACCAAAGATGCTGTTATTATCAGCAACACCAGGCTTGTAGGGTTCGCGAGCACCGGATTCGACATAGCGTTTCAAACGGTCGGACTGACTGAGACTGGGCTGTTTGCTCATATCATGGATACTTAGTCCAGCGAGACTCACGCCGCCCTGGTCGACACTCTTGCCATCGATGATGCTTGCAGTAACATCGGATTCTGTCGCCGCAATGGATTCACCAGCAATGCTAGGTGCTCCCTTCCCTCTGTTACCATTGGCCCGACGATTTCCTTGGAGGGTAGGCCAAGAGTCTGCGAAGTTCTGAAACATAGGAGGATATCCTGAAGGGATACCAACACCACCAAGAGCAGAAGAGTGTACAGAGGAGACATCATCAGGAATATAGCCCACCACGGATCCGGTGTCGTGGAAGTCGTTGCGGTGGCCATTTCTTCCATTCATCATTCCACTTGTCACGCTAGAGGCGTGGTTATAAGCCATCTGGAATCGCTGGGGCCCTCTATATGCCTGTTTAGGGCGGCTGAACTGGATTAGGGATTCCTGAAGATTGGACAGAGGGCCCTCAACCAAACAATGCCGTTCTTTGAAGTGCTGCAACAGGCAGTTCCACAAGGGATGTTTAGATAGCACCTTCGGGTTACCAAGGATCGCTAGACCATACTTCGCTCGTGTAAGTGCGACGTTGAGACGACGGGGATCACTCAAGAAACCGATGCCTTGGTGGTCGTTGGAACGCACACAAGACAGGATGATGAAATCCTTCTCTCGTCCCTGGAAAGCATCAACGGAAGCAACTTCGATTTCCTTGTAGTGTTCCTTCTTAAAGGTACCAGTTGCCTGCATGGAGCTAACGATGTAGCTACGCTGGCCTTCATAAGGGGTAATGATACCAATGTCTTGAGGCTGCACACCAGCCTTGAAGAAACGGGTCACAATTTTTTCCACATTTGTAGCCTCTGTACGATTGAGATAAGATGTTCCAGAGGCGGAAATCTCCTCATTACCCAAGTTCGACCAGAACATCATAGGATTGTCGCTGATGGGCCATGGGAAGTCAACATCACGACGAAGACGCTCAATAGATGAAATGCCGTTTTGCAGAGAGCCCTCGTAAAACATGTTCGAAGGGAATTCAGAAAGACAGGGATGCATACGGTACTGCACGTTCAAGCGGATAGGTGAGCAACCCAAAATAACGAGTCGCTCAAAAAGCGACTGGTTGAGACCTGCTTTAGCTGCTTTCTTGTTCATAATGACGGGCCCAAGTTGCTGATGATCACCAACGAGGACAACTTGCTTGCATCCTAGAACCAATGGAATCATACACTCCGGTTCGGCTGATTGAGTAGATTCGTCAATCAATACAGTGCGGAACTTGAGTTTCGCGAGGCGTGGGTCACCAGCGCCGACACAAGTGCAGCAAATAACGTCAGCGTTGTTCAGAATCTCGCGCTCCGCTGACCGCGTGAGCTGTTTCAGTCGCTTTTCGTCCTGACTCGACAACTCCCCGAGTTCCGACTTGAGCTGATTAAGCTTCAGGAGTTCAATATTACTATCATTCAAGCGAACTTGCTCATGCAGAGACAAGAAGCCAACGGGAGATTCCACATCTTCACGGGATTTGGCGGTTACACGCACTGTCTTCAGACCGGTTCTGTGAATACGCTCGCAGAGTTGATCAACAGCGACGTTGGAAGGAGCGCAGACTAGGACCTGGCCGCCATTAAGTTTGGCAAGATGATAAATGATGGTAGCTGAAGTGACAGTCTTTCCGGTTCCCGGAGGTCCTTGAATAAGACTCAGAGGTCTCTGTAGGACGCTCTTGACTGCGTTGATCTGGCTACCGTTTAGTTCTGGAAGCCCAGGGACACTGAACTTCTTGGGCATCTGGGTCTTCATTGGTGCAGCAGCGACCTCATGACCAAGGAGCCGATGGAAAATGTAACCAGAAACGCTCATCTCATCAACTGCGAACGTCTTCATGGCGAGCTGCATACGATCAAAGGAGGTGGACTTCCATACATAGTCGGCAGTAAAATTGTGTGTACACTCTGTAGGCACCGACTTATGATCTCCCTTTGCTCGCAATTCAATAGTAACCTCATCAGACTGGTTATTCGGGATCTTGATGACGTATCCAACCCCTTCCCACTTGGGCCGAAGTTCGCCAGTGTATTTCAGTCGCATTTCGTCTCCCACAGCCAGTTTGACGTCTCCAAGCTCAAGTTTTGGTAGAATGAAGCTAGCTAGATGTTTGTTGTTGAGACCAAGATCCCAACGCACAATCAACCCATCCTGCGACTGTGACTCCTTCAATTTTCGATCATAATCCGCCTCAATCTTGACGAGTGGTCCAAAAATGTTCTGATACTGGAAAGCATCATCATACCGCAAAAGAACAGGGGCAGGTTCGTCATCTACAGCGGTGGCCTTCTCGAGATCTGAAAACGTGGCTTGGGAGTTTTCTTTCCACATTTCCTCCAGTTTCGCAATGAGCTGAGGGCTGAGGTGGCGAGCTCGCAGTTGCTCCTGGTCAGATGGCGCAGCTACAAGCCATGGCAGAAACGAACGATCTTCTATTAGTGGTTGCCAACGAGAAGTATCCCAGTTCATGTCCTTGGACGACGGCATGGCGGCACAAGGCTGACGGCATAGTAATACAACGACCGTATCAGACTTCGCTGGGATGAACCCAAGAAGAAAGACATTCTTAGTTCCACAATTATAGCACTCCAAAATTGTATCTCCGAGAGACGAGGCAGGGTGTAATTGCACTTCCTTGTGTCGTGCTCGAACGAGATGGTTGACAATGTGAGAGGACGAGGTATTTCCACGAGCGCTGCAAAACCACTTGCTGCATGAGAGACATTTCACAACACTGCTCGGATTATGAATGCCGCAATATCTTCAAGGCGATCTAGAGTTAGCTAAACTTCAATCTAGTAATATACCATGATACTTACGCGCATGCATGTGGCGGAAGCTCCTTTTCCTCCTCTGTGTGTCTTTGATTTTCTGCATTCCCAGCAGCTGGAGCACTATTTGTACTTTCTAGGTCGTCATCCCCATTATCCGAGCCGTCATCGTCATCGTCATGCCTCCGCGGGCGGAGACCACCAGTTATGTCATCCAAATCCCTTGAATCATCGCCTAGAGCTGCCATCATCGATCGAAATCCAGATTAAAAAGCTCTCCCGGGAGTGGCAAAAAAACTCCTAATAAGGCGCTATCAAAGATCTGGAAAGCAGGAATGGTGCAAAGCCGAAACGCCCAGTCCACCACAAATCAGAGTCACGAGTCGGTCATACACGAACTTTCCTGATATATCGTTTGGGGGAATTTGGAGGTGAAAGAGCGTTAAGGGCAACCGGCCGTCTCAGTTGCTGAAGAAGAAAACGAGGCGGTAGGGAAATCTGTCTTGATTTATAAGATAACCCAGCGTGCCACAGTAGAGGGGCAAGAAGAATGAGAGGCTTAGGTCTAATCTCAGCGATGAATTCTTCCTGGTCTGGAATGGGCGATGCTTTGAGAAAAACTCACATGTAACTCTCACTGATCAGTAACCAAGTCCCTAATTCACCGTAAAGCCTAATGAAAGTGAGTCGGCCTGTCCTCGATGGTGGAAAGTTGTAATTCACAGGACTCGGCGATTCGATGGTTTGCGATCGGCTCACCTCGTTTTATTATCGGTCTATTTGCCGCCAAATCCCACACAGTACGGTGGCCTATGCGGACCACCAATGCAATTAAAAAAAGTTGCCCGCCAAAGACAAAGCTTCAACCAGTTTTTTAAAAGACATCCATCCAAACAAAATGCTTGTACGTTTTGGCCCTGTCATGATTTTAATCTCTTTCCTGTGAACTGGAAGACTTTTACTAACTGTTTCTTAGCGCCGTCAAGCTCGTGAGCGCCGAGACTATCTTTATCGGAGAGCGTTGCTTCTCCGCGATGCCTCTATCGCCGAAAAGCGAGCCCAGTTGAAGGCTTCGCTAGCTTCTGGAAAACCCCTTGATCCTTCCATCGCAAACGATAAACAGCTTCGCGAAGATTTCAAATATGACGAGTCTTTACCTACCACGGATAAGAAAGATAAGGATGCGGATATGCTAGACCTTGACGATGAATATGCCCTCACATCCGGAATTGTCGATCCTCGTCCCATTGTCACAACTTCTCGAAACCCGTCTGTCCGCTTAGGCGCATTCGCAAAGGAAATCCGTCTGCTTCTTCCAACATCGATTCGCCTGAACCGTGGTGGTCTTGTGCTCCCAGATCTTGTATCGAGTGCCAATGCTGCGGCGTTGACAGATATGGTTCTCCTGCATGAACATCGAGGAACCCCCACGGCGATGACCATTTCTCACCTACCCCATGGACCGACGGCTAGTTTCTCACTTCACAATGTCGTTCTCCGTGCAGACATCCCCAATGCTGCCCGTGGGACCGTGTCGGAGAGCTACCCCCACCTTATCTTTGAGGGATTCAAGACCAAACTGGGCCTTCGGGTAGTGCAAATTTTGAAGCATCTCTTCCCTCCGCGCGAGGCTGGAAAGGTTGGCAACCGTGTCGTCAGCTTCGTGAACAGAGAGGACAGCATCGAAGTGCGGCACCACGTGTTCGTGAAGACGAGTTATCGGGACGTTGAACTGGCCGAAGTTGGTCCACGTATGACCATGAGGTTGTTCGAGATCCGCGGCGGATCCCTGGAGAAAGGTTCTAGTGGTGATGTTGAATGGGCTCTTACACAGTACACCAGGACTAGCAGGAAGAAGGATTACCTGTGAGCCGGTTCGTTGGCGACGGCTGCAACGGTTTGGTGCGATGTATCTTTATCTTACGAAGACACAAGAAAGTCTGTCTTGGCGCTTAAGGTGTTGGAAGGTTTAAAAAGGTTAGCATTTAGCTGTTTAACATCACTGTTTACTATTGTATACCCGTCTAGAGAAACAGATACCTAGGTGTTCCGAATGGATGTCCGCTGATGTTGTATCTTCATGTTATCTCCCATATACAAGTTCTCTTCCGAATGTACCGGGCAGCCATATGAGACAAGATGGCATCAAGCAAGAGAATCTTGTAGCTTCGGCATTTGAAGCTCTAAGTACAAGAAAGAGACAGGGGAGCTTCTGGCTGGTTACTAATGGTTGCTGGCAGTGAAACAAAGTAGACTTCGTCCATCAGTAGCACTAAACTAGTCAAAAACTCGACTAAAACTGCCACTTCCAGATTACTTTCCAAATGCATCGGCGCTGCTGGTCGAGCCGTTCTGGATGAAGTCGAGGAACATGTTCGTGGTGGCTTCGTAGATGTACCAGCCCTCATGGGGAGGTACGAGGTTACCTTCACTATCTCTCTTAGGCTCGGGCAGGATTCCGTCCTCACGTAGCGCCCAGCTCTTTCCCGTATATTCTTCGAAAACCCGTTCAAATGCTGTCAGGGCCGTGTCCAAGCTGCTTCCGGTTGGAGCAAGGATCTGGGAGTTTGATTTACCAACACGGCTATATTTGCATTCGGTTTCATACGTACACGGTTTACCATTGGATTCGTAGATCTGTAGTTACCAAATTATCAGTATTGGCTGTGGAGAATAGATTAACCACCACAATCTGTCGTCAAGGACCAAATTCAGATATGTAACTAACCGTAAGCTGGAATCTCTCGTTACGCTTCGCGATTGTCTGTCGGACAAGCGTTGCCTTGTATGTTAGACAGGCTGTCATGTCCGTGTAAACATGATGTCCCGCTATATTTTCTCACCATCAGCACCTAAGCCATTCATACACATAGAGCAGAGGACATACATGTAGTGGAGCCTGCGTTTTTCCCACGGTTGACACCTAAAGGGCCTTTTATATTTGCTTTTCCTAACATCAATATACGAGTCCTGCTTTAGAAATGAAATGTCATTGGGTATATATGTTCATGGTGAGCTTACTAGTAAGCTTGCCTGCTGCCTGTTTTGTAGACTTACCCTGTTGCTTTGGGGTCTTCCTGGCTTTCTCCTTTGCAGCTCTCCTTTCCTCCTTTAGGATATTCTCAATGAGATATGCCTTTTCCCGTTTTGGTGTCCGGGTACGGGAAAGTAGAGAATCCTCCAACCATTCATATGATACTATCTTAACAGTCCCGAGACGTCTGGCTTCTTTGACTTTACTCGAATGCGTTAGGAAATCAAAAGTCTAGCAATGTAGGTTTGGGGACTAACCTGCAGGGATGTTGTTCATATAGGCGTCCTTGGCTGTAACTAGGTGCGTCACATCGTGAATGACTTGCTTAGAATACCTTCCGCCGTTTGCTTGAACCCATTGCGGAATTTTATTACCGCTGTCTCCGAGCCTCCCAGCCGAGCATAAGTGAACCCTTGCAAAAGACTTGCCCATATTGAATATATGAGTGTAGTTGGGCGGCTGGTTTCTGAGGCAGGATGGGTAAATCGTCGGAAAGAACTTGTAGACAAGGAAATCAGATGATCTGGCAAAAACTACATCTCAGCTAGGCTGAGTGAAAGAGCTAGCTTAGATGAAAGTAGGGAAAGAAATAGTCCGTAAGAACGGGATGATTCCTAAGGTCAAACTGGCAACAATGAGCACATTCCTGGTATGACTTCAAAGTGAGAGTTCGAGGGTTGTGCGCAAACCTTGAGTCTATACAGAACTGTTGGCAATAACACATCTGCTTTGAGACAGTTAATTGGATCTTGGAACTAGCTCATAAACCGAAAGTGAATTGTGGCCCGAAAATGAAGTGTAGAGTCATTACTCGAAAGACAAAATGAAACTCATTAAAGATCATCGCTGCGGATCTGTGACAAGTTGCTGGTATCTGAGAACAAAAAAGCCTATGGATTACTGTTGAAGTCCTCTCACTGCCTGCACAAAGGCATGGATTTTACTTGGATCCTGAACGCCGTCCGACTCCACACCAGAACTGACATCTACCCCAACAACCTTGTGACCTGATTTTCCTAGCTTCCTAATGGTGTCGGCAACATTTGTGGGATCTAATCCTCCAGCCAAGATAACACGCAGGCCAGCATCGCTGTCCAGAATATTCTGAACACCGGACTGATCGAGCAATTCACCCGAGCCACCAGCTCCAGAGTCAAGTAAGGGCAAGGTGTGGTAGGCTCTTCGTGCAATTCCAGTCTCGTCAAGACCGAATTTGCGGATGACAGGCACCGGTATTAATCTAGTCCATTCTAATGGCTCAGAACCGTGTAACTGAACCACGTCGAGCTCAAGCTTTTGTTGCTGCTCCAGGATGTATGACAATGGCTGATTCTGGAACACGCCCACGAGCAGAGCGCGGTTGGGATGGCGTAGGGCATTAGTGGAATGATCAAAGTAATCAACCGAAGCTGCAGTTGGTGTTCCTTGAGTCGTCGAAGCGGCATGAGGGACAGGTCGCTTCGTGGACTTCACAACTTGAGAAATTCGAAGAGCAACATCATCTGAAACAGTTCGCTTTCGTCCATGTACCTGAATAATACCAACTAAATCAGCACCAGCCTCGATTGCCGCCCGAGCCCCATCTTCAGATCGTGTACCACAGATCTTGATTAAAGGCGAGGTTCGAGAAGTTTTAGCAGATTTCTCGGATGTCCCCCCGAGAAGCTCTGCAACAAAAGCAGATGTGTCAGATGCCCGCATAAGTGCCTCTCCCACGAGAATTGCTTTGACGCCTTCCTTCTTGTAAGCCTCGACATCCTTGGGCCCGGAAATTCCACTAAGAGCGCAAACAATAGTATTCTCGTTAACCTGATCCATGAGACGACTCGTGGTGCCGAGATCAACCTCGAAGCTTGTCAAGTCTCTGTTGTTCACGCCAATCACCTCGGCTCCAAGCTGGACCGCAATCTTCATTTCCTCCGGAGTATTAACCTCAACGAGAGGCTCCATTCCTAAGCTGCGAGAATAGTGATACAATCTTGTGAGAAGCTCGACGCTTAGCATCTTCACGATGAGCAGAATAGTATCAGCCCCACCAAGACGGGCTTCTAGAATCTGATATTCGTCGAAGACAAATTCCTTTCTCAAGATTGCAGGTCTATTTGTAACTCCTTCTAAGCTCTGACGAACGGCACGCAAGTCGTCAATGCTACCTTTGAACCATTCTGGCTCAGTGAGGACAGAAATAACGCTGGCGCCGGCCTTAGCGTACTCTCTAGCCTGGGCAGGGGCGCACGCGTTCTCTGCAATCATACCCTTGGAAGGGGAAGCGCGCTTGATTTCAGCCATAAGAGACAATGGATAAGGTGATTGTCTTAGACGAGCAGGGAATGAGACTTGTGGAGGAGCAATGTTGAGGTCGAAAGCAGCCTGAAGATCCACAGGCCGTTGCGAAGGAATAGTCTTCTGGATGGCAACAGCAGCCCTGCGGTGATCATATATCTTTTCTAAGATGGAAGTCTTCTTGTCTACCTTCGGCGTGCTATTTGAGGCAGCCAACCCAGTAACAACAGAAGTGCCACTCTGTGCACTGGATTGTTTGCCGTTACCCTCCCATGTGCCCGCCGTAAGTTTGAGGAAGTTCCTAAACATCCCTCGGCCGTACTCGGTGAGAATACTTTCAGGATGAAACTGGACGCCTTCCACTGCAAGCTGCTTGTGTCTCACACCCATGATAACGGTCTTGTTACTGTCCTCACCCAACTGGGCGTAAGACGTTACCTCCAAACAGTCAGGAATCGTTGAGTGTGTTCCAGCAAGGGAATGATATCTGGTCACGGCTAGGGAGGCCGGCAGCCCTTCATATGCACCTCTGCCGTCATGTTTTATCACCGACGTCTTACCATGCAAGATCTCGCCTGTGACATCGACTTTGCCACCGAAGGAAGAGATAATGCATTGCTGACCCATACAGACACCAAAAACCGGTACCTTACCACTGAAGTATTGAATTGCAGCATTACTGATTCCAGCGTCGGTTGTCGGATGGCCCGGACCAGGACTGACGACCAATTGGGTCGGCTTTTTGGCGATCAACTCTTCCAAGGACAATTCATCATTGCGAAACACCTGGACGGTGGCGCCCTCAAGGACCAGATACTGATAAACATTCCAGGTAAAAGAATCGTAATTGTCGATCAAAATGACATTCGATGCGCTATCAAGCCGTGCGGCTTTAGTGGGATGGTGGGGGGAATGGTCAATGAGATCGGAGCCCGCCATGACGAAGACCTGGATCTGAGAGGCGTATTAGTCAATAAGTGATAAGAACAATATACGTGAGAAGCATATGTGCAGACAGCAATCTATCGATCAAGCAATAACCCTAACTCACCTTTTTTGAAGGGTTGGGCAACGAATTGTGTAACGCGGGGAGTTTGACTCACTGAAGCCGCATCGGATAAATCGCCTTCCCAAACGGGCTTCTCTGTCAAACTGCACAAAATTTAGCCTCACCGCCTAGCACTAAACCAAGATAGGAATTGATTGTTGACCTCAGCCAAAAGTGCTCCTTGAATATTTGAGTTCCCGCTCTCAGCTTCCTACACTTAGTGCTTTATCGACCTTGCTCACTTTAGGTCCTTCATACCTGCGCATAAAAGCTGTATCTTTTGAGGTCTTAGAATGATATAGCTGTTGCGCCAATGGCTCCCGTTCCGGAAGCCTATTTCCCGTCCCTGGACAAGTGCTTCTCTGGGGACGTCCAGCTTCTGTACGCGCATCTGCAATACTTGAAATGGGGAGTAAGGCTAACTGTACCATCCCTTTAGGTCCTGGAAGAGAGCATTTCTCTACACATGCAACCCCGAGGATGATGTAGACGATACCGGCAGTCTCCATGCTTTCTTGTCGCACCCAGAAAGCGTTCAGCTTCTTGCAAATTGTTTGGACGGGTTCACCTCCTCTTCGGCGAAGACAAAGTCAGATTTTGAGTCGAAAACGGCTGCAATCCACGCGGAGACCACAGCGCAATCTTCACATAACCTAAAGGAACTCAAAGAAGACGCCTTGTGGCTGAGCCAGAAAGCCGGTATCGACGAAATCAGCGCTCTAAGAGTTGCAGTCTTAGAATGGCAGAACCGCCCTGCTACGCGCCTTCTGTCTGGATTCTCTGAAGAAGAATCTACAAGTTTGCAAAGCGCAGCTGGTGTCGAAAACTTTCGCATGTCGCTGGCTGGACCCAGCTTTGCTGAAATTTTCAGTCAGAGAGTCAGTCGTGAGGACAATGCCTCGAGATTTGTTTCTGAAGAAAATAGGCGCCTGCGTCTGCGAGAGCTTTACTTGTCGGAAAGGACACATATTATAAAGACAGCTCGGAGGCTATTCGCTCTCTCTCTGCGCAGCAACGTCAACGAACCCGCTCCGCAAAAGTCCGAACAGAAACGGAGTGACTTGTTGTGCCAATTGGGAGCGACACTCTTCAACGACAAGCTTGCTGGTGATAAATGCCGCACTTTCATTCAAGCATGCATCAAAGCTATCCAGGGTCGACTTTCGGCATTGGAGGGCAATGGAGGATGGCTAGGACTCGCTGAAAGTAGCGAGGCCGTGGAAGATTTGTGGCGAACGGCTCTTGTTGAAGAAATATTGCACATTGTGCAAATTCTGTTCCTACAGCTCCAATCATCTGCGGAGCTTCCTTCCGCCGATGTTTTCGTATCCTGGCTTCGTCTCATGGGCGATTACAACTTCCTTGAGCCACTCCAAATTGTGAGTAGTACTAGACTTCCTTCCTGCTATCAAGTTTTTAAGAAGCTGACCCCATAAAGCCATGCCAGAATCCGCCAGAAGTATTACTCCCTCTTCAGGCTTTCGTGAGCTTGACGACCCTTGCATTCATGAAGCTACCGCTTACTATTCCCTCTATCATAAATAAAACTCGTACGCCAGAGCCAAATACGAAACCACCGTATTTTCTCTCGAAGGATGAGATTGGTCAGGTGAATGAGATTTTTGTCTCTGCGGTGGTGGAGTCCAAAATTGCAAGCCCTGCGGCGTTCGCGTGGGGACTGGTTTTAAACACTATGAGAGAGCTTGCCCTCAACGACAAAGAGAACCGGGAGTTGGAACAGTTTCACAGCGCAGTTGACTCATTTCAATCGAATACTCCTCAATCTACCGCAGGCGGAGCTTCAGAAATTTCACTTTATGAGGAGTTGTTAGAATGTGCACGAACTCCGAAGTACACGGCTGATGATTCTATAACCCTGTTGACCTCGGATGAAGTGAAAACCATGGCATTTGAGATTATTATGAACCTGGCTACCAAAGTTGGCTCCACGTCTGCAATTGACGACATGTTAACGAACCGCTGGGCTCGAACAGTGCTCCTGGATCTCATTCGAGTGGCTGTGGTGTACTTGGATTATTCACCCGAAATTGTGGAATCAGTTCTGGCGATTCTCGCGGGCTCATCCACAGAACCTCTATGGCCCATAAATAGTCTGGCCTCACCTTCTAGTGACCCACGGTATGTTTTTATCAAGGATGACCTCTTGATGGACAATATCTTTCGACTAGCCCGGTCACGATTCCCTTATGAGACAGTGCCGTTCTTGAAACTCTGCCGCGCTCTTATTAGCAAAGACCTGGTTAATGACGAAGGAATCCCGGAAATTCTCAATGAAATGGAGAACATGGACACATTTACTCAGGCCATACCGCCTGATTTCCAAGGGTACGAGACGATACGGGAGGATGAGAACGCAAATTTCGTTACTCTCGTTGATTCCCTTCCAATGATTGGCTCATCCCCTCGAAGGCAGTTATCCGAGAACCAAACCAACAATGCTCTAGTTGTCACGGGCTCATCTCAAGTTCCGTCTACAACAATTGGGCAAGTCGTGTCCGAGTCAAGGCCCGCTGTTATTATGTGGCAGCACCGGTATTCTCCGTTGAGTTACCTTGGAAGCTGGCTAGAGGAATGGAATGAGAACGGAGGATATTCAGCAGGATGGGGAGAGGACTCTATCGCGGATATCATAGGGCTCTTGGCAGATCTCCTCATTACCTCTAAGGATACGCAACGTCAAAATGGAGATGACTCAGGCGCTAAGAGGATCTTGGAGATGGCAAGCGATGGGCTAGCCCGTCAAAGCGACATTGTTTCAGTGGTACTCGACATTCTCGAACGTAATCTGTCTCATATTGGCCCTAGAGCAGGTTCTGAGGCTGTTTTGGACTCTGTTATTGCCTGCCTGCGGTTTATCACCGCTCTTATTGAAGTTTTACCTGGCAGAGTATGGCCGTTCCTGTCTCGGAGCAGCCTTTTGGGTTCTGATGGTAAAGGCGGCATCATGACAGCAATCATCTCCGCGCTCGAGGTCACATCAGGCGAATATCCCTTCCTTCTTAGCTGCGTACGTTTTTTCGAGTCCATTGTTGACGACTCTGTCTCTCGTGCTGTACTGAGGAGAAGCCCCAACAGCATAATGGGCAAGACAGCAACTGTTTCTGATTGGACTGCTGGCGTTCCATCTCATATGATGAGAGGAGTCCTCTTGAACTTTGTTCGAATAATGGTCGAAGTATACAACAGCAGCATCAATTGGCGGTTTAACTCCCCAGCGCAAAGATTTGAGATCAACACCGCACTTGCCAAGACATTCGAAAGAATACTCTACTATGCTTATGGCACAAATGACACTACTAAGCTGGATGCAAAAGTTACTGGTGTGTTGTCATCCTCGGCGACTTACCTCCTAGACGTTTTACGACCGCATTCGACAGATGATCTCCCTTTCAACCCGATCCTTCGACTCATTGCTGACGGCCTTCAAACCCCGCCCACCGTATATCTTCGGTACTTAACACTGGTAGAAAAGCAAGTGAATTCGACACTTGTTCTCTCGACCAGACTTTTACAGGCCGCCCAGCTACTCGAGACACCGCCGTCGTTATTAGAAGAGCAACTGTTCAAGGCAGCTCCGGTCCTCGTTAAATTATATGCCCTGCATGACGCCTATAGACTACCCATTATATCTCTTCTTAACACACTTATCACAGGCGCAGCTTTGAATTCTGACAAAGAGCCACCGTCCCTGATTGGTCATTTGGGAGCGGAGTCATCCTGTCTCTTTCTCGATGTCCTATCCCAATTTGACAAGCCGTTAAGTGATCGGAACCTACAATTAGAAATATGGCAGCTATTGTCAACATTTGTCACCAAGCGTCAGCAGTGGCTTGCGGTCTATATTCTTACCGGGTCGTCTCCTCGTCAAACACTTAAGAAAACCGACGATCAAAAGGCCCCGGCTATGAGAGGAACACCGTTCTTGAAGATTGCTCTGGATACGCTCTCAAACATCGACCAAGTCGATCTTCAGGTGGCTCTTGCGTTGCTAGAGTTTGTCTCTCATGCCCAGGAAAATTGGCCCTGGGCTACCTCTGAGCTGAGGAAGCACTCCCTGTTTTTCACCAGCCTTGTGCAATATGTTTCGAAGTTGAAGATAGCGTCATTATCTGTGGTGGATCAGATATTTACTACACGAATTGCAGCTGTCGTCGCTGATCTCTGCACCGTGTATTTGCATTCCGCAAAGGAAATGCAGGATCGGTCCTTCTATAAGACTCTGATCCCCCTTGTGTCTTGGTACGCGATGGATGCAGTTGAGGTCTCGGGGTACAATGCCTCACTACACGCCAACTTGAAGAAGAATTTTGAGATGAGGTACTCGGGCTGCAAGCTCGCTGATTTTAAAAGGACGACATTGCAGCCTCGCACCCTGGGCCATGACTATTGTTATGATATTCGCCTCGGCGAAAAGCTTCTCTCTTACGATTTCGCATGGGCGGGAACCCGAAACCAAGGTTTTGGCCAGGAGTTCGAACGAGCTAATCTCAATCTGTCACTGATTGAGGCTAAAGTGGTATGTATTCGTGCAATCCTTATATGAATGATCTCTGATAGTGTTTGATCGCAGTCGCTCCTCCATAGCTGGAAATTCTTCGCCATCGAGCATTGCTCAGACTTCATGACAGATCGAGAGGTTCAAAAATCGATGGCTGTAGTCGTACAGAGATGCCTTGAAGCCAACATCAATGGCGTCCCACAAGAAGCGATCTTTGCACGTATTCAACAAACCCGAGTAGATTTTGCACAAGCTCTACTCCAGCGACTTGTGGAGATCGGATCTCGGGGTGCTGAAGTTTTTGGTCTGCTTGGGGTAGTGTGGGATGCATTGCGCTCTCGCCGCGCAACGTACGAGGAGGCAATCATCAATGACGACACCGAGTATTACCGGTCCCTTCTCAATGTGCTTTTCCTTGCCCTTCAGTTCCACCATGACTCACCTTCACGGACAGCGCCCGAAACGCTCAGTAAGAAAGCTGAGGTATCATCTGACTTAGGACTGGTGGTCGAAATTGTAAAGACTGTGGTTGCTCAAGGATTCAAGTCTTTGACTGCGTACTTGCACGATCAACCAGAGAAGTGCACACCGAAGGACTTTGCCATCATAACGGCCATTTTGCAAAGCTGCTTACAGGTGAAGAATGTTGATCGGGTATACGAGCATATCGTGTATCATATTGCCGATAATGATACAGGTCGCCATGCAACTTCTCTGTTTTCGTGGGCCGATCAACTGGCTGTGGCTGGCGATCCCGTCTACGGAGAACTCAGTATCTCGTTCCTTGTTAAACTATCGACCATACCCATGCTGGCAGAACATCTCGCTGTCGAGGTGGTTTTGGTCAGACTCTCTACATGCCGACTGACAAATATCCTGCGACAGCCCAAGGGCTTCGGCCCCTTTGATCCGGTGCCTAGGATGTATGCTATCTGGACCGGCGGTATTCTTCCCCTTTGCCTGAACCTCCTCTACCACGTCATTCGCACAGCGCCCGAAGTGGCAGCCTTCCTCAATCAATTCGAGGGCCAACTTACGCGGGCGTCCGAGGCGTTTGCTGCCGACCGCACGGCTGGGTCTACGGCCCGGCGCATCTGTCTGAGCATGACATCTGAGGCGTACTCACTAGCACTGATCTCCTTCATATTGGATCGATTCCGCGAAGCAGGACCCAGTGCCGGCATGGATGCTGAGTCAATCCAGGAACTCAAATGGGATAGAGCACATGTCAAGGAGGACATTGAAGATCTCCTAGAACGAAGACAACTCCTTCGAGCACGGATTGTGGCCACCAACGACAAGGAAGCGGAGCTGTTACGTCAGAAACCATTGAATGCTTCATCATCGGGGGCCGAGAACCGACTGGAGGAGAAGGTTGTGAGCGAGTTGAAGGCCACGCTGGTCTGTCTTGGAGGAGAGGAGGAGTAATGAAGCTAATGTATCCATCTCATATTGTGCGCAATTTCAAGGTGTCTATGTGGTTGTTTCTTGATTTTTTTTTACTCCCTCCATGGCTTGTTCAGGGTTGTCCTCTTAAGATATAGCGTGATGTTTTTGGTAGGAAATGGCAGACGGTGGGGAGTGTAGAAATCTTTTATCGGTATTCCAATGATTGAACATACAAACGACATATCGGTCTTTTCTATTTTTTTTTTTCTTTTTTTTTCTTCCAGACTGGTGTCAAGAAAAAAAAAGGAATGTTGTAAGCGGCTAAATATCCCAGCATAACCGCCCCTTTAGGTGATACACTCCCACCAATTGAGAGAAACTCCGACTGCACCTCAACCGTGTTACATAGCCAGGGTGGTACAGGGCGCCTCTCATTCCCCCTATAAAAACAAAGCGTCGAAGACCCGAGGTCATGAAGCGTTTCCTTCCTCGGGATCTCCGCTCGGGGAGAAGCTGATTGGTACCGACTTAACCGATCCCAAATGCGGGGAGAGCTCTGCAAGCTTGGTATGGGTTGGTTCCTCGGATTATGAATGGATAAAAGTGGATAAATTATTCACTTTACTGGTTCTCATAGGGAGGGGTTTGATGTAGCCAGGCTTTTAGGGCAAGTTTCGATTGGAGTGAATTCCTTGGTTCGTGGCCCTATTTCTCATTCTATATATGAATTGCTCTTGCTCTCGCTCTCCTCAAGGTTTATATCGTTACTACTTACTCTTTCTTACTATTTGTTGAACTTCTATTGGTGCCCTTCTTCTTGAAAGCTTTCTGATCCTTGTTTTCTGGGTGGATTGTTTAAGAGACTCACGATGCCTTTCAAATCGCGTTGGCAGGTGCATGTCCCGGATGCGCACCTGGCTACTGTCCTGTTCACATCGCCCACTCATCCGTTATCAAAGACGCACAGGTGCTTCTCTGAGGCCGCTCGTCCTGACACGCATTATTTCACCACCCATGATTTCCGACTATGGTCGAAGCGGTTTGCGGCGGGATTGCGCAAGGCTGGTCTCCAGCCAGGCGATCGGGTTTTGCTCTTTTCCGGCAACGATCTCTTCTTTCCCGTTGTCTTTATGGGGATCATCATGGCGGGAGGTATCTTCTCGGGGGCCAATCCTACCTATGTCGCAAGGGAACTAGCGTATCAGCTCCAGGATAGCGGCGCAACTTACCTCATATGCGCTGAAGGGAGTCTCGACACTGGTATTGAAGCGGCGCAGGTAGCAGGATTGAGTCGGGACCGGGTGTTTGTTTTTAATAATGCCATCTTCGATGGGCGGGGGGAGGGTAAGATGGGTTGTCGCTATTGGGGTGAACTGGTGGCGTCTGCGGAGGAAGGCAGCCAGTTTGTATGGGACGATCTATCGACTCCAGAGAAGGCTAACCGTACCCTCGCCTTGAATTATTCCAGCGGCACGACGGGGAGGCCCAAGGGCGTGGAAATCTCTCACAAGAACTATTGCGCCAACATGCTCCAGGCTAATCAATCGTTTTATCTCAATCCGGACTGGAAGGAAAGGAATGCTAGGGCTCGGTTCCTCTGTTTCCTGCCGATGTATCATGCGATGGCCCAAAATATTTTCATTGCGAATGCATTGAAGCGTGGGGTTCCCGTGTACATTATGCCCAAGTTTGACTTCATCAAGATGCTGGAATATACGGAGAAATTCCGCATCACGGACCTTATTCTGGTACCCCCTGTGGTGGTTGCCCTAGCCAAGCATCCTGCGGTCAGAAGCGGCAAGTACGATCTTAGCAGTGTCGAGGCGATTGGCAGCGGCGCAGCGCCCCTGGGAAGAGAAGTCTGTGATGAAGTGGAGGCCCTCTGGGAACCTGGACGTGTCAATGTGAAACAGGGCTGGGGGATGACCGAGTACGTTGTGCCGCCTATTGTATCTACCAATGAAGCAGCAATGTGAGCTAACACAGAAGTTTTCCCAAAGGACTACATGCGCTATACTTGGCTGGAACCCCACCGAAACAAGTCACACAGCGTCAGTTGGAGAGCTGAACCCCAATTGCGAAGCAAAGATTATGGCCGACGACGGGGTCACCGAGTTAGGACGTAACCAACGGGGTGAACTCTGGGTCCGAGGTCCGAATATTATGAAGGGTTATTGGCGAAACCCGCAGGCCACAAAGGAAACCAAGACGGAAGATGGATGGCTGAAGACTGGAGATATCGCGTATGTGGACGATCAGGGGAAGTTCTACGTAGTTGACCGGAAAAAGGTACGTCGTATGACAAATAGCTCCCAGTTGCCACATATGGCAAAAAAAAAAAAAAAAAAAAAAAGGGCAGCGTTGCACACTTGCTTCTAGAACTTATGCATGCGTTGACTGACAAATTCTGCTCTAGGAACTGATCAAAGTGAAAGGCAATCAAGTCGCACCGGCAGAGTTAGAAGCCCTCTTGCTGGAACACCCGGCAGTAGCTGACGTTGCGGTCATTGGAGTCTCGGTGTAAGTATTATATTTGCCTCCACAGAGATTGATGAACGATCAGGAGCAGCTGATAGACTGACTATCGACGAATAGGAACGATGACGAGCGCCCTCGAGCATATGTAGTGCTAAAACCTGGACAAAGCGCCTCCGCACAGGATCTTATCGCATTCATGGACGGGAAAGTCTCCGCGATCAAGAGGATCACTGGCGGGGTAGTCTTCGTTGATACAATCCCTAAAAACCCCTCAGGCAAAATCCTGCGAAAGGTCCTTCGAGACCGCGCTAGAGAGGAAGTGGCCTCAAACCCGAGTATCACCGCAAAGCTATAGGTCACACTTTATTTTGCCTCTCACCTCTCATCTCTCCAAATTTAAATTTTTTTTTTTCCTCACCTGCGGAGCGACAGGCCAGTCTAATGTAAATCTAAGCTTCGGTGACCTGATTGGTGGGGCAGCCGATTTTAGCATGCGTTGAAGGGACCTGGTTGTTGGGTCGAACGGGCGAGGAATCCTGAATGATATATTTGATAGACGAATCTCAGTGGATCTAGGTTCGCGTAGTCCGTTCCTCTTAAATTTTCCTGCTGTCAAAAGGCCACGAAAGGAGGTCGACGCCACAGTCGATCACGCTGTTTACCGCCACACTGAAAGCACTCGGCTCTTTTTTCCTGCGCCAAGAGTAGATCTAAGATACTAGTGCGTTAGTAGTGTCGAGTAGGTGCAGGAGTGAAAGACATGACCCAGTGGACACCAGCACAGACGCAATCTGATCTAGAGTTCTTGCCGAGGAAGGAAAAACAAGATATTGGTGAGAAGAGGAAAATTTCAGGGGAACAATCATCTCACCCGAAGCCACCACTCCAATAACAGAAGAAGGCAAGGGATCGACCCGTCATACCATGGCTACCTGATGCGAGACTAGTACGTAGGTTTATCCTGTCATTGCGCTTGCTTTATGCGAACCGACTTGGATCTGCACGGAAGCAGACGATCGGATGATGGGCTGAGCTGAGAAAGAATACCTAAATAAAATAATGTAATGTAAGAGAATAACGATGGTGGGTACTTTAACATTAATACTCTATTCCAAAATTGCATCAATATCGAAGTAACGAAACTAAACGGGGTCACGAGGGGGGTTGGCACCTTTCCGAATGGGGAACAGTTCAATTACGGCTGGCACTTCAACTGTAATGAATCTGGACCTTTGGACAATTACGTCCCAAGACCCCCAGGACATGCATTTGATGGAGCGACTCAACCCTCTCCACTCCACTTTCTACTTCCTGTTGGTCTTACGCCGTCACCGTCGACTCAGATCGAGCCGCAACACATTTAGTGCCGGTAGCCAGCCTTATTCATAGTCCTTGGGGGACGGTGCCCCTCGCTAAGTCCGCCTAACGAACTAGCGGGAGAGGCTCCTCTCTTGAGCCGGCAACTGCGCAGGTGGCGCTCTTTCAGGGCAGCTGAACTCACCTTTCCTGTTGGCCTTGTTGCCGCATTCTTGGTCTCATCTGGCCCTCTAGTCGTCGTACAATGGCGGGTGGGCTCCATTTTGTATGGGTCTTGTCCACCGCTTAACCTCGCGTGGCTGATCCTCACGCAGCTGGACTGGAAGCCGCCTCGTACCAACTTACTACCAAATTGTGCTTCAAAGAATGGCTGCATGACGCAGGGTTGGATATGTGTGCCTGCATGGTGGAGTCTGTCATTTTATTTCGATACTTTTAGAAAGTAGCAATTCCCTCACTGGGTCACTCCGAGACGGAGTATTATTTCTTTTCCATCCAAGTACCTCTGGTGGCCATGGCCCAGATTATAAAGATCCCTGTATACCGCTCATAGCTCTTACTTGCAAGGTACAAGCTCAATATCATCTCTACATCTATATCTTCTTTTTTTGCTTCCTTTTCGCTTTCCATCTATCTATCTATCTAACTCTCCTGGTTCTGCCCGTTAATCGAGCATATTTAACTTGTTAACTTGGAACATTGAAGCCCAAATCTATTGCCTATTTTGGTATAGAACGCCTCATACGGCCCATCTCCAGTACTGGACATACAGACTGTTGAGGAATAAGTGATCTACAACGTCGTCAACGTTCAAAAGAAAACCCGCCGAGACTCTCCTTAGAGAAAGGAGACAAAAGAGACACAGGCAATGGGCCATGAGAAGGACAACGACGCCGTGAAAGACATCCAGGTCCTTTCGTTCTGGATCTCCTTCACCGTCGTCTCCATACTGTGCATCCTACTCTTCGTTCAACGTATCAGACGACGACATCTGGGTTGGTACGCACCGCCAGAGAGGCAAATGGATCCGCGACCCTTTTCCTTTGGCCAAAAAGAAAAGCGTGGTGGCGACGAGGAACTAGCTGGTCTAGTGGGCCACGGAAAGACATCCTCTCCAGGAGACCCGTCGACCTACGGCGTAGCCGGACTCCCTTCAGCCTGTGATATTCTGCTGCCCCTGTCCCGTTCGACACATCTACCCTCAAGTGGTTATCTTGCTGCCGTTCTAGGCCGCGAACGGAGTGTCAGCACTGCGCAATCATATCAGCAGGCCCAGGCACCTTGCGTTGTTGCCCCATCCGAGCTGAGCCCCAGCTCGGGAGATAGTCGGCCTTCCACCGCTGGGACGGACGCTGGGCGCAGCAACGCGTTTTTGCCCGCGGAGGGATCTGGATTACTTGGATCTTGCATTGAGAACGCCGATCCACCGGCTGGGCCACAGACACTCGACGCGCAAGAATTTTCCGGGATGTTGGCCCCAGAACGGACATGTTCTGTCCTGAAGCGCAACCAGATTGTCCAGCACCTTTATGATGTGGATGAAGGAGGTGTTCGCACGTATAAGCGGACCATGCTCCATTACAACTAATGTTGTTTGTGTGCGTCCATTGGTCTTTGTTTTTTTCTTCTTGACTCTCCCTTCTGCTACTTAGTTCGGGTACTTTTTTTTTCTTCACATTCCATTGGAATTCCAGGTCATTGAGGCGCATTTTTTTTTTTTTTTGGTCTTTAAAAAAAGATGGTGCCTAATGGGTGGCGGACTGTTTACATCCAGAATTTTTTTTTTTTTTTTTTTACTTCTGTTGATGACTGATGACGAGTTAATGATGCTGAATTCATGAAATCTAAGCTAACTCTGTTCAACACGCATGGGACAACCACGTCCCAAGCCCTCTTAGCCCGCATCACCAAGGGACCTATCGTAGATGACTCTTCCTTCCAAAACAACTTGAACAAGTATGAAACCACATGACCCAATAGCTATGACGAAGTCACATGCCCCATACATATCGAGCTTAGTCATCCCCAATAAACGGCCATGATTGCTCGATAGCCATCTGCAATAGTTCCCCAAAGAACAAGCCAACAAGAAATCGCAGCCCAACTCCCCTCACTCAAACCCCCACCTTCAAGCGCGGCGAGAAGGGAAAAACAAAAAAACAAAGAAAAGAAAAAAAGAAACACAGCAAGAGAACAAGAAGAAGGAAATAGACCGACAGGAAGCGAGAAAAAAGAAGCGAAAGCACCGGGCGCAATAGACAGAAGAAACCATGACAATAACAACATACCCCGGGGCCTTGACCTCCGACCCAAATCTCACGAATCTATCTCTATCTCGACTACTCACCCGTCTTGAACATAATTTGCTCTCGTCCTCTGCGGACTTGAAGCCGCTACGTCGGTCGGAGTATCAGCGTATGAGAGTTGGAGCTGTGCGTTTATTTTTCACTTTTTATTTGTTTTTCCTTTCTCCTTTTGCTTTACGGACTTCTTTTTTAGAAAGCTCCGTGTCGGCTTTGCTAGCTAGCTGTGATTAGTAGCTATGCTAGGTTTGCAGTTGTAGCTTTACTCTCTAAGCTGCTGGCAAGGCTCATGCTAACACAGCCCAAAACTAGAATATAGAATATGCCCGTGCTACACTCCAAGAATTAGAACGGAGTCTTCCGCAGGTCAAACCAGTCGACCGTCGTCATGAAATTCAATCGGATATCACCCGGGACCGCCAGACCCTGAAACGGTTACAGAGTGTACTAGATCAGCTAAATGCTGAAGCGGAGGTAAATCTCTCCGCAAAAGGCGGGCCGGGGCTGCCCGGTGCGGAGGGGATTTACGAGGATGAGGACGAGGAGTCAGTGGATGGGGAGGATTTACTCGGGACGCCAGAGGAGGGCAGTACACCCGATGAAGGACAGGAGATTGACACGTTAGGAGAAGGGGCGGAGGGGGCGGAGGCTGCTGCGCAGGAAGAATCAAAGGCAATTTCTGGGCAGAGCCCTGAGTCTCTGTCGCATGAGATGGCGACAACGACGGCGACAGTTGACGCTACAGCCACCACTACTACAGTTTCGCCTACGCCAAGGTCCACCTTACGAAACCGACATAATGGCCCGACAGACCTCGCAGCCACAGCAACAGGTTCCTCTTTACACGAACACAACACCTCTACACAGCCATCTGCTTCCTCGACTGCCAAAATACAATCCACCGAAGAGACACTCGACACACACCGTCGCGAACAAGAAGATATCACTAACTCTCTTCTGTCCCTTGCGACGCAGCTCAAGTCTTCGTCGCAGGCTTTCCAATCCTCTCTGGAATCAGAAAAGTCTGTGCTGGCCCGTGCCGTTGATGGCCTGGACCGCACGACAGGCAATATGGAGGCTGCAGAGCGACGGATGGGGATGTTGCGTCGCATGACCGAAGGGAAGGGCTGGTGGGGACGGATGATGCTCTATGCGTGGATCTTTGGGTTATGGATCGTTGCGGTGTTGATTGTATTCATCGGTCCGAAATTGCGATTCTGATAGCTATTTTGTGTTTGTAGAGCGTTTATGTATGGAGTACTGGTGTTTGGACGGGCATCGCCAGAGCTGAATTTCAACTTTCTCAACGACTTGATATCCATGTATCTTTACAACGCGAGGGTTTGAATTTAACGTCCAACTCGTTCTATTTACAATCTACAGGTAAATTAATACAAACAATATATTCACAATCCTTAGTTTTGACTATGACCCAATGACCGACCCGGCATGACACATGAGAAAAAGACATGATAGTCCACGTACCCTGCTATTCCCCGTGCCCGTGGCCCTGTCGTCGCTCATTGCTCCAGCGGACGTGAGACAGGCAAGATGAGTGATATAAGTACACACGAGGGCACCAAGAGATGATGGGATATCCAGCGTTCAAAACCAAAACGTAAACTAAAGAGGAAATTGAATGAGGGATAGGGTAACCAGACACGAAATTAAATGAGAATGCTGGAGGGAAAAAAAAGACGAAAAACGATATAAAAGGAAAAGGCATAAATTGTTCAATGTTCAACCCGCCCTCATGGAAGAGTGCGGGAACAATGAACTGCTGCTCTGTGATGGATATCGGTGATGCGGATAACAAAGAGCTGGCTAGATATCATTTCAATACAGAAGGAAAAAACAAAAAAGAAATTAGAAATAGACAAATGAATGTCTTCAACGCCAGGTTCTTTCAAAGATCACGAGGTATGACGAACACATCAAAAAGGAAAAGAGGAAAGAGAGGAAGGGAAATTATAAGTCACATAGCATACGGTCTAGATGTCGGATATTCAAACAGGCACTCAGTCAAAGCACCCTATTCATTAGATCAGACCACAGAGTCGGAGGTTCTCCTGGATGATGATGTCTAAACCGATTATTAGTACAGCACAAACTGATGAATGATATGCGGCAACTCACCATTTACTGCAGCCATGACGAATCGAATTTGTGTAGTGTCAGTGGCACACGTAAAGTGCGTGTAAATCTGCTTCTGCTCTGCTTGGTTCAGGGACACGAAGCGGTTGAGGATGTAGTCACAAGCGGCAGCATAATCGGCACCACCCTCGTAGTCAGGGAAGTAGTTCTTCATAGGGCTGACGGGCAGCTTCTCCTTGAAACGATCGATCTTGTTGAGGAAGAGAATGATGGATGTCTTGACGAACCACCGGGAGTTGCAGATGGAATCGAACAAAGTGAGGGCTTCCTGCATACGGTTGACGGTCTCATCTTCGAACAACAGCTGGTCGTACTCGGAGATGGCGACCAAGAAAAGGATCGTGGTGACATTCTCGAAACAGTGGATCCACTTCTTCCGTTCGGAACGTTGACCACCGACGTCGAACATCCGGTATGTCAGATCGCCAATGATGAATGTGGTCTCAGTGATACCAGTAGTCTTGACACGAGAACGGAGTACATCCTGGTCCGTAGGAAGATAATCGGGCTGGGCAATGCGCTCAATGGCATCAAAGTAGCTAGAACGATTAGCAGACTGCTAGAGTTTGGTCAACTGCATCGGCAAGTACTCACTATTTGGCAGAGTCGTTCAGTTGGTATTCGCGAGACCTCTTGAAACACTCCTGCACACCACTGTCGCGCCACAGAGCTCCAATCGCATTTCCGACCTCCGGAGGAAGGTTGTCACCTTCGATTTGAGCGGGCTGCATGAAGATGGTTTGAACGTGGTACTCGTGACGGGCATCCTCGAGGGGCAGTTCCAAAGATTCCATCGCTTCCAAAATGACTCGCATCGACTGGACCGTGTTACTGTAGATAATTTCCTTGAAAGACTCTCTTTCGTCGCGCGAGTATCCACCCTCATGGATCAGTTTCATTTGCTTCAGAATTGTCGACTTGCCAGACTCTCCCGCTCCTGCAGAGAAATGGTCAACAAAGCGCCTAACATACGACGGTGAAAACTTCAGGTGGGATCGGTTGCATACCGAGCAAAAGCATCTTGATTTCGTTGCGCTGCATCATCTTGTCGCGTTTAAGCTGGTTTTCGATCTCCTCATTACGGGCCTTCCCCTCCTTATCCTCGGTACTCATTCCGCAACCCATGTTGGCGGTATATAATCGTGACTGGTGATGTTCAAAGGTTTGTCCAAAGGAAGATGAGGTGACCGGCGTTGTATTGTATTTGAAGGAATCTATTTTTCATTAAAAAAAAAATAGGTGTCAGCGAAAGGCCGCACTTTCCACGTTTCGAAACCAAATGGTTGATAATTCAAAACGTGCTCCAACACGAGGTGACCCAAATTTGACGGAAAACTATCGCGTAAAAAAAGAAAAGAAAGGAAAAAAAAAAAAATTAAAGAGCCAGCTACTACATTGACGTAAGGAGTAGCAGTGAATACATCGAGATCACCAGCTGATACAGTGAGGATAGTCAAGTCGGAAGGAGGGCCAACAGCTTGTTGAAGGCTGAAGATAAGGAGGCTACTCACCGGTCAAAACTTATCCCTCCAAGATCGAGATGATATTTTTTTTTATTGCACTCAAAAGTAAAAAGGATTAAACGATTGGGATATAATTCCGTGTGGTATTATTGCAAGGCCGAGTGACCACAAACGAACGGGAGTAAGGGGGAGAAAAATTCGATTATTGGAGCGCGGTCTTGAGACGGGGCGGAAAGGAGGCCAAAAGGAGAGTGAAACAAATGTTACCCCGATGCTGACGAACACAAGAATTATGGCGTGCTGGATGGACGAAAAAGCAGCGACCACGAAGATTAAAAAGACTATTAAAGGGGAGTAAATCCTTCACCACTCGGCCTGCTGGAACCGATAAAGTGATTGATCGAAGAAAGAGGAACGAACAGAAGGAAGAGAGAGAGGCTGAGAAAGATGGGCGAGGATAAGCTCAGGCAGGTAAGGGGGCTTTGGGGGAGAGTTTGGAGGGGCGAGAAAGAAAGAGGCGAGCGAGTCGAGAGACCCAAAAAGGAGTGGGAAATGGGGATGGTCCCGACTTGGAACTTACGGGCTGTAAGTCTGACCAGCTGCCGGAGAAGGCTAAAAAGAAAAAAAAAAAAAAAAAATTGGTTTTCGGTTTTCTTTTTCCTTCTGGAACGCTAGCAGATGGTATAGGACTGGAGCAGCAATAGGGGGGAAGTGGGGGGTTTGGTTTGGTAACAGGTAAAGCTATTAGAATTCATTTTTCTCATTCGCTGGAAGGGTCACGAGAAAGAGTGGATCTACAATATTTCTCTATCCAATCACTGCATCTAAGCAACTATCCCCTTTTTAACGAGTGGCTCTTAGGTTCTTCTGCGATCAAAGCACCCAGGTTTTTGTGTATCGGATTTCATGTATGATTGCAATTACGATTTAGGGTTATAAATATACATACATTTCTTCATTCCGTAAGCTGACATTTCAGACGCTGGCCGGATGCAAAGTCCAATAGCATTGCGAGGAATACCGCCCCCATCGCAAGGCAAAACAGAGGAATCTGAAGCTGAGGCCTTGAGACCTTGCCGTGTCAGGTCTAGTAACTAGTCAGGTGTCTCCTGATCGTTACTCTAACTGGAATGACTTAATTTCCGGGTCATGCAGATCTATAGTACAATGTATGACGGTATGACATAAGGGTAGGCATAAGCATTGTCCCGAGCTACTCGAAGTAACCCATTCGCGTAATAATTTCGATGAGGATGCGAGTTTCTACTAACGACAATGATACCAGGAAACTTGATTAAACAAAGGTAGAAAGTATCTTAGATAAATCCTACTCTTCTAAAGATGCTGCGCCAAACCACCAATGTCCATTCAATGTTCCGATGACATACATGGTGGGCATTTTCAGTTTCGAAGTGCCGCCACCAGTGGAGATCTGACACCATGGAATGGCCTCAGATCGCCAGGCACAAGTTATGGATTCCTGTAGTGTGCAAAAATCCCAACTTTGAAACTAGATGTTTTACTTCCACGTTCCCGGAACCTTGGTCTTCTTCTCCGTAGGTTATTTCTTGTACTACGACTGTTTCCTTTACTCTGTCGGTTAAGCCGACAATATCTCTATCGTCTAAGAAGGTCGTGTGGAGATTGTGGTACTGTAAGTACTCTGTAAGTATTTGGGGCCGAAGTGCTTACAGCATGTAAAAATGTGTATATCATACAGCATTAGTACTGTATTTGTAAACTCCACTTTCAACTGCCGTTGATCTTCCATCTCTCCGCACAACTCTGAAGAGAAAAACGTCAACAAACGGTGGCGTTATCCCTTTTTTCCCATGAGTGTTATCCGGCCATCTGTCCTGCCTTCCGTACCAGAGCGTCTGAAGTGTTCTATCTGCGTTTCACACTTTATCTCCCTGTCTCACAACCCGATATAAAAGAACCTTGCAATACTTATGCGAAGAAAATGCCTACTGTGGCGCCATCCATCCATGGCTCTGCAGTATGACTAATCCTTGCGCTCCACTCTCTAGTGATTCTAGTTAACTTCTTTGCCGCACACTATGCAAATGCTGTGTGCAATCACGTTCCTAGATAGGGTGTGATATCGCGAAAACTATGGGTCCTAAGCAAAACTATTGAGGCCGGACTTCAGGTACTAAACCATACTTCCTCCGGAGTATTACTGTCTCCCAGATGTGGGTGCATACGAAGTATGAACACTGAAGAAAATACCAATAATGGATGGGGTTAACCATGGGATCCAGAAAACCAGAATACATTTGGTACTGCATTGGTCCATGACTTAAGATATCGATGGCAGGAAATGGGTTGGTTCGAATTTTGCTAGACCCTGAGACCTGGGTATCCACACTGAAGAGTAAACAAACCCCCAAGATAGATATGCGACCAGTTACCCACTAATACCATTAATCATCAGTGACAGGGCAAAACGACTTCGCATACGGAGTACTCCATACTGTGTACACTGTACACAGTAGTTGGTTAGTGTTTGGTTAGTCAGTCGTATTACCTAATCTATGATATGAAGAGCAGAGTGGGATCGAACAAATGGGGATACGGCCCATAATTGCGCCAATCTGTCCAATGGTTCTTGCAATCTCAGTTTGTGTATCCCCTCGGCGACTATCCAATGGCCGGCACAGCCTGTCCTTGATCCCTGGATACAATTGAGCCAACCGATCGCTGCTGAGGTCCACTGTGCAAGGTACTACGTATTAGTACACATTATACTTTGTGGTTTCGCCCGTGGATTTTAGGGCTACCGCCTTCGATCCCCGATCCGATCTTTTTCCTCCTCTTGTCTCAAGATCTCTCGTACAATTACCCACTTAAGCATTACATCTGGATTTTTGGTTTCATAGATCTGTTCATATTTCTATCATATTATAGACTATTTATATATCAATTTGCCCCGCCGCCAAAATGCATGAAATGTCCCATATGGGCCCTCGGGGTGAGACCCTTTCTCAAGCACCATCGCCAAAAGCCACCAATGCCTGACTAACAATCTTGCAACACGAACAGCCTTCAACCACGAGCAAAGCAGCGATGCGGAAGCTGAATACGATCGCCTCCGCGGCCTAGCCCGCGAGGAGGCTCAGAAGCGCAACTCTTGCTTCCAACGGGTGTGTGCGCATCGCATTTTTCCCTCCAAGGCCCTGACCTGACCCGAGCCAATACGACTAATACTCAACGTCGTTGTTCGGAACAATAGTCTCAAGAAGCATACTCCGAAGGTGATGGCGCAATGGCCAAGGAACTGTCTGAGCAGGGTAAAGCCCACGGTCGCAAGATGGCAGAATACAACAAGCAGGCATCCGAATTCATCTTTCGTGAGAACAACGCCGAAGGGCGCGTGGAGCCCGATACGATCGACTTACACGGTCAATTCGTAGAAGAGGCGGAGGAGATTCTTGAGGAGCGTATCAAATATGCTAGAGAGCATGGCCAGAACCATCTGCATGTGTAAGTTATAATGTTATGTGTCGGCGTTGCGCGCGGTGTTAACTGACTTGACTTAGCATCGTCGGCAAAGGCAACCACTCTGCCAACCACGTCCAGAAGATCAAACCCCGTGTTGAGCAAGTCTGCCGCGAACTCGGTCTGCAGTATGCTACCGAAGAGAATGCGGGTCGCATCTATGTCAATCTCACCGGCGGACCGGCTGACATGTCTGAAGTTCCGGCGCACTCTGGTTATGGCCAGTCGCATGGTCAGTATCCCGGCCAGCAGCATCACCAACAGCCACAACAACAAGACCAACAGCAGCAGCAGCAACAACAACAACAACAACAACAACAGGACCCCGTCGAGGAGATGGTCAACGCGGTTCTCCCACGTGTGTTGCGCAAGCTGGAGAAGGCTTGCTGTGTGGTTATGTAAATATTATGGGATCGGTCAACACTTATGTTCATGGTCACCATGCTATGAAGGATCAGACAACCTTCGATATAATGTTACAGATATATAATCATTGCAGGGGACGAAAATGCCCGGCTTACGACTGGGATATTTACATGAGCGCTTGGATTAATATACCCAGAGTGTTTATATTCTCGCTTTACCAACCAAGTTTATCAAATCTTATTTGCACAACTTATCTTCACCAAATGTGATAAAATCGACTATGCGAAATAGTGACATAAACTGATCGGGCAAAAACAGCCGAACATATCCTTATGTTTAACTTTATCAATCCGTTGTCCAATCTTTCCAAGTGCACAAGACACATCCAAGCTTAACACGCTACCGAAGAATGGACGAGAACGGCGGAAGGACAAAAACCACAATAGAGCCGGATTAATTATCTGGTTTTCGAACGTCTTTAAGAGTAGACTCGGTTATCTTATCAAGAATGGCACGTATCGTCACTCTGTTGTCGTTGCCTTCAGGTTCCTTGCTATTATCACTTGCCTCTATCTCGGCTATAAGCGTCAAAGCTTTATCGCGTAAATCCCGGACAACATCCTGTGTGTGTTCAAAGCTTCCAGTGCTCTCCATGTATTTGACTGCGTATAATTTGACCTCCTCGTCCTTAGTTTTCTGCTTCAGGATATTGATGAGCTGGTGATTACTCGGGTCGGATCGAATGCTGTGAATGATGGGAAACGAAAATTTCCCCTCCGTGAGATCCTCGCAGAGACCTTTGTTTTTAGTGTAGGTTGTATTGGACAGATTGAGATAATCATCACAGATTTGGAAGATCAGTCCCAACACATTGACTAAGCTCACGCAGTCCTTCCCCGTATTGCTCTCGGTCTGCATTAGCTTTATAGCAAGTCGGAACAACCCACCGGTCTTATTTCCCACCATCTCGAGGTATTCCTCTTCGCTGGGGCAGGTGAGGGTGTCTCGCCAGAACAGATCCATCCCTTGGCCGCGATGGAGGTTCAATAACTCTTGAACGTAAATATCAATCGCAGCGGGATTGTTCAGCTTTTGAACCTCTTGGAGGGCCAAGAAGTAAACATAATTCGCCGAATTGATGGTCTGAGCTGTTCCGTAAATATTATGAGCCACGGGAACTCCGCGACGAAGAATGGAACAATCTTCGACATCATCGATCCTACAAAAAGAGAGCAACAATTAGAGTGGGACAAGCTGGTGCGAGTGGTATGAGGATACACCTACAATAGCGATGCTGTGTGAAGCATAGCTACTACTTTGGTGATAATAGCCAAACTCTCCGTGGGGACTCTCAGCCATTCATTGAATGCGTTGATAAGCTGCCGTCGTATATCCTTGCCAGGATGCTGCAGCATGTAATCATAGGGACCCAACACAATCATCTCGTTCTCTGGTGACCACTGGCCATCTTTATATTTTGTGCCATCTAGGCTAGATCGATTGCGAGTGTGTTTGCGCCGGATGTTGGTGTTCGTCTGTAGTTGATCGCCATTTGTTTCAGGAATAGCTGCGAGGCTTGATTGTCCTGTCACGGATGAGTTTGTACTAGCTCCGTCTGTGGCACCCGCAGAGCTAGTTCGAGGGGGAATGGTAGTGGGGGACTGCATGGAAGAAGTTTCCGACGACATGGTTCCTTGATTTGCGTCCCCATCAAGTTGCGATAGGGTGATATCCTCAGGAACGAACAGATGGCAAATATGCCAGTTATTTAAACTGACCCGACGAACTGCCAGAAGCCCCGTGATAGAGGTAAGCTCTTTGTCCTGTGCCGCACAATATGAGGAGGGTGAATGCAAGAAACCTTTGTTGTATGCGGGGAACAACCCAATTAGGCAGCCTGGACAATGTGACGTCGATTCATGTGATACATATTGTGCCCCAATGCGGTGGGATTGTGTTGGTCACATGACATGGGCCGTGATCCAGGAACCTGGATTTTGACACCCCAAAAAACTTTCCATTTGAGTTACAGGGGCATACTCCAAAAATGCCATTTCCATGGATGATGCACCCCAGGCTGCAAGGAGCATGTTGCCCTTCACAAGGGGTAGTCGACTAGACAACCTACATGACCAGGGAAACAAAGAATTCAACAAGAATCGGCCGAGTCCGAGCAAGTTCTCCTACGCCTCAAGTTCCAAGGCACGGCAGAACACGACATCATCAGGACTCTTTGATAAGTTGATCCTGCCAGGATGAGCTGGTGACATGGCGCAGCTGAACTTGTCATCATCACAGTGACAGCTCAGCGCCTAACGGTCCAATGGCCTGTGAAGTGCTGGAAGGAGTAGCGTCCCAATTGGACATCGCCGGTCGTCTCCCGGGGCAACCATCGGGTGTGTTTGCTTGCCTGTGGGGTTCACACTCACTAAATCTAACTAGTGAGGATCTCGGCACGATCAAAAGGTGATGTTGTCGAACTAATTTATCCTCGACCAAACTATTTATCACCAATAATTGAATTAAATTAAGGTACCTGGGCATCTGGACTAGCCGGATCTTGTTCTATTTTTTTCCCTGTCCTACTTTCATCTAGATAAGCCTCGGTGTCGCATCTTGTCGCCGAAACCGTCGCCGAGTTAAAAAGACTTTGCTTCCGGGTTCCTCTTGCTTCGGTTTTTTTTTTTTTTTTTTTTTTGCTAGCTGCCATTTTATTGATTTTTTCGGTCGCCTTACGTACCCATGGAGACTTTGTTGGCGCATTCGTTCGACTACCTATCTTCGTACGAACCAAGCAAAGTTCGCAAAGGGTTGCGCCAGGTTGAAGGTCTTCTCGCGCAAATCTGTTTATCTAAGTCGAAACAGCCGGCGTCTGATAAACGGAGGTCATTACTATCCTTTGGAGCTCCACAACCTGTTCCCAAGGCTCTGTCCGAACTAAAAGATGACCCCGCATTTAGAGAATTTTTCAAGCTTCAAGAAGGGTTCCAATGGAATGGTACGCGCCGTCTGGTCCGATTCCATATATTACCGGATATCCGATAGACTGACAAGCTTCTCTCAGTTGCAATGCGCTTGGTAACCTGCCTTGAGCACCTACTTGGTCGAGGAAGCAATGGCACAAATGACCTTCTTATACTCTCGACACTTGACTTAATACAAGGCGCGCTTCTGCTCCACCCGCCATCGCGAACACTGTTCGCGCGCGAAATTTATATGAACATACTGTTGGATCTTCTGGACCCGATCAACTGCCCCGCGATTCAGTCTGCTACCCTGCTCACTCTTGTAACGGCTCTTTTGGACCATCCCGCCAACACGCGCACGTTTGAGGAGCTCGACGGACTGCTCACAGTGACATCACTCTTCAAGCAGCGCGCAACATCTCGTGAAGTTAAACTCAAACTCGTCGAGTTCCTCTACTTCTATCTGATGCCGGAAACACCGATGATCCCTGCGGGAGCAGGCGTCAGCGCGGTGAATGCAGCGGCTGTCGGACTGCAGCGCAGTCCAACCAAGTTAGGGGGGGCAAGGCCAAGGAGTGCCAATGGACCAGGAGCTCACCATAGCGGAAGGGGAAATAGAGATACGCGCACGACGGATGAGAAGCAAGCACTGCTCGGAAGGTATCTCAACAATGTGGAGGATCTAGTTGAAGATCTAAAAGAAACCGCGCCTTTTGGAGCAACAGTTTACTAGCATGAGCGGCGTCCTGAACTTCTCTTTTATTATTCCCTCCTTCCTTTCTTTGGCTTTTCCCTTTCCTCTTCTTTCCTTTTCATTGAGCAATGGAGCGTGCATGGAATGGTATTGTTGGCTGGTCTCTCTGTGTTTTGCATGATTCCTCGCGCTGAATTATCCTTTCCTTCTTTTCTTCTTCTCCCTCTTTCCTTCTTCTCCCTCTTTCCTTCTCTCCTTCCATTCTATCTCCAACCCCCTTCCTGTCTTTATGACCCTCTCTCTGACTTACCATTCTCTCCCCGTCTGGCACGGCGTCTGGATCGAGAATGTGGATGAATTCTCTTTTTCCTGCTTTTTCTGTCATGTCATCCTTTCCTTTCTTTTTCTCTACGACTTATGGGTCATTTTGATGCATCATGTATCATGTTTTGGGCGGACTTTAAGAGCAATGACTACTTTTGAATGATCATATCAAGCTGAAAATAGGATATCGCCATAATCACTGGAATTCCATGCCACAGAAAGCATAGCATTGAATTATCGGGCCTTAATGTAGTTTGGGAGATCACTGAAGTGATGGTGATTGTTTTAGATTGCGGTGGCGATCTGGGAGCATACTATTATATAAAAATTTGCGACAACCTCGGTACCAACTAATATGACTCATCTTCTCGTATAACAGCAACCATTGTTTTATATAGAATTATCATTACATGTAGTATATATATCCCCTAAGTGCCTACTATTACCTAGGCATCTTCAATTCGATAATCTTGCATCAGTTGTTGTGCAATTGCTTCTTCATCCGTTGAAGAAACTTCCCCGCGGGACTGCCACACATCCGGTGATCAATAAGAAAGAGAAGCAAAAACAAGGAAAGAGGTTATCTATCCAGAAAATTTTTACCCAGGTCCCGCAAATTACTACAATGGCTCGTACTATACAAGAAACCCTTGCCTCAGGGTCTCCTAGCAATACAGCAAGCTCCCAAAAGCCAGTACAATATGTGGAAACCGTCGAGGCATACAACAAATGGGCGGAGGTAAGCAGACCTACCTCGTATAATACTTCATGTCGAAGGAAAAGAGGTATCCCAAGTAATTTAGACAAATTCTAACTAAAAACACAGGTCTATGACACAGACGGCAACTTCCTACAAGCCCTCGACAGCATCGAAATACAACAGCTACTACCACAGCTCTTGGACAAAGTAACCGCCAATACACAGATAGGTCCGGTAAAACTAGTCGATCTAGGCTGTGGCACAGGTCGAAACACTCGCCAGCTACTGAAGTTCGCGCCCCAAGATGCCCATATCGTTGGGCTAGATGCTTCGCCGGGGATGCTGGATGTTGCTCGGACCGCTATCGACAAGGAGAAGCAATCCGATCCTTCTCTTGCTAATAGGGTTTCGTTGGAGATTTATGATCTGCTTCGTTCGCCCCCGGCACCGCCTGAGTGTAGCGTGGGCGCGGCTGGTGTGATTTCAACTCTGGTGTTGGAGCATATCCCCGTGGACCAGTTCTTTGAGGGCGCGGCGGCGGTGATGAGACCTGGAGGGTATTTTCTTTTGACCAATATGCATTCTGAGATGGGGTCGATTAGCCAGGCGGGGTTTGTGGATACGGCGACTGGGACGAAGATTCGGCCGACTAGTTATTCTCACACGATTGAGGATGTGTTAGATGCTGCTGAGAAGGCGGGATTCGAGGTTGAAGAGTTGGGCGGGGAGCGTGTCCGCGAGAGGAAGGTGAATGAGACGATGGTAAAAGATTTGGGTAAAAGAGCGAATAAGTGGATCGGTGTCACGGTGTGGTTTGGAATTTGCTTTAGAAAGCGGTTGTGAAGAAGCGCTACTCTTTCTGAAGCTTGACCCTGTTCTCGCTGTGAGGATTGAAAGACAAGTAGGCTAGCAGTATTATACATGAATGATTCGTTTTGATATCCAATGTCTAGAAGTATTTTAGCAATCTTTCCCGATGCTGCACAAGATTTTCATGCTTTTGCAGAAGCTCTGCCAGCCTATTCCGCTTCCATCCCATTCCTTTATCTAAGATCAAATGCGTATAAGAGAAGACGCTGGCGTCGAACAAGCCTGGACTGGACCGTTCAAAGAAATGCTCATTGTTGCCTAGAAGCGTAGAGAGAGCCTCAAAGGCATCGTCTGCCTCTGCCTCCAGTGCGCTGACATCAATATATTGTGAAGTCTTCAGAAGCTCCTCCCTTGCGGCCTGCTGAAGCTGAACAGCTAAAGTGGCGCGTACCAGCGAATTGCTAGTCGATGGATCTACGTAAAGCCGGCGGGCTACAGTACTGAAGTTTTCATTGTCCAAATAAAGGGTATACAACTGTGTGCGTGTGAGCGTCACTCTTGGAACCACTGTCGGATACTTATATCAACATACCCAAGCATTCCGTATCCGGTGATCCAGTAATGATGCGTATACCTCGAACCGCAAGTTCAATTGCTGTTCTTCTTCACAGTGGACTTGTTCAATAGCCCACTTTTGTAGTTTGCTGGAAGGTATCGGGGCGTTGTTGTTGACTGGAAGGGCCGGGAGGAGGAAGGGAAGAGCTCCCGTTGGTGATGCATGATTATTCGAAGGAACAATATCAAAATCGATACCGACAAATCTCAAATATGCCTTTGTGCACAAAGTCATTCGGGTCAGAAACGATCAGACATAACCTGCGCACTCTGCTATCCTCACGTACCTGCCATTTGAGACACTGCGGATTGAATGAGGGTTTGTGACTTTTCGCACCCGCTGCATCTGTAAACACAAACAACCGATTTCCAGTCCGGTTCGAGGCACCACGTTGAGGAAGGTCATTGGAAGAATAAGTGACGAGAGGAAATCGATCAAAGATGCGCTTGATCGGAGCAGGAACGGCGAAATAATCCCTGGCGCGTGAAATGCTTACATAGCCCGGCGCCTGGCCGGAGGTATCACGGCCTTCTGGAGTCATTGAAAAGAGAGAACAAGGGAAATGTGGGTCAAAAAGAAAGTGTACAAAAGGTTCACACGTCAGTGAGTTGAAAGATCGAGGCAAGTGGAATTAAGTCGACTCGGACCAGCTCTGTGTACTTGCTTATTGCCGGACGATTTGACGATAAACTCCGATTTGCCGCGCTGCCAAGGTTCAGGCAGCCCAGACATAGTCTGATGCCTCAGGCGTAGAATGCAGACCTCGGAGGCGCGCTTAGACTCGTTTCAGGTTGGATTTTGCATGTTTCTTCCGATGTCAGTCACCGAACAGCCCCCGCATCTTTAACGCAGACCCTGGCGGGGTTATCGAGTCGCCTGGACCTGTTGTCTAGCCACTGTTTACTAATTATTTTTGGATCTCCCAATTTTGGATCTTCCCTTAGTTTTCATCCTTACTTTCTGTGTCACCCTTTATCTGTTGTCATCGCTTCTGTGTATTTTCTTGTTCTCATCCGAACGACCGCCGCCCCGTCGAACGGGACCTTTATCGATTTCTTTGTTCTGATTCTATGTACAATCCCTGTGCGGAAGGCTACTCAACTGAGGAAACCTAATCGTCTTTTTGATGAATGTCGAGTTTGATCTGCACTGGGCCTTGCGATTACTGGTGGATCTGCGATAGCGCCGAGGTCGATACAGAAAGGCACGAGGCACAGTTCAAGCGACCCCAAGCATATTTGAGTATCGGTACTGTCTTGGGTGCGTCATTCTAAGAGTAGACTGACACAATGCCTTTGGATGAAGAAGGCGCTAAGTGGTCATGGTAAGGATTTACTTATTGGTCGTCGGCACGAAGTTACTAACTGAATTCCTAGCGAACCATGTATCCGTGGCCATCGTTCCTCGAAATGTCAACATTTCGACAGATTGATGATGAAGGTGCCCAAGGCCGGACGTCCACTTGCTAAATGCCCCCATCCGAAAGGGACATGTAGCTGTCAAAAGACTTATGCATTTATGATCCGTATTCCAAAAGGTGAGTGGCCCAGTCATTCACAGAACAAACATTCGCTAACTACTATCAAGGCTCTACGTGTCTCTGTAGACCGGTATATCAAGTGCCTGTAGATTCGAATGAGTCCGCACCACCCACCCCGACTGCTCTCCCCCTTACAGCTTCACCCGCTCCTGGTAAAATCCAAAAGTCATCTAGAAGGCAAATCAAAACTGCCCCGGAAAGCATTGCGAAAGCTCTAGATTCTATACCAGACTTTGGGAAACAACATCATGAAAACGGCACTTTGAACCATATTTCCCCTTTCATGTCTCAAGATCCGGGGCTTAAAACCATGGGGAACAGTCTACCTCAGCGTATCGGTACGCCAAATACTTTCATACCTCATCAGGCCCTCGATAATGGCGACGACGCGAAACCGCCAGGCGGAAGCTGCTGTTCTCAAAAATCGCAACCACTAGTGCAAACCCAGCCCCAAGCTTCTTGTTGTAAGAAGCCTGAAAGTCCCGCACAAAATGGCCACAGCACAGAACCTACAACCGATGGATCGAGCGCCCCCTATACGCCATCTTTGAATGCGACTTCATTTACACCTATTTCTACACCTCAGATTCCTACATGGCAGGACTTTAATGCTGTTGGACAAAATCACCACTACCCACCGTTTGTGTCGCACCAACAATCGACTGCGCAACCCGCATATGTGCCTGACTATACGTTACATACATCACCCAAGGCTGTTGCTATGAGCTTTCCCCATCAGAACATTACCAGCAGTAGTCTCACCCAATCTTTTGTATCGCAGCCGTTCCCACATGATACTAATAATTCTGGTTATATGGAACCGGCAACCCTCAACAGCGATCCAACCCACAATTGCAGCTGCGGTGATAATTGTCAATGCCTGGGTTGTGCTTCTCATCCATTCAACAATACCACAAGACAACATGTTCAAGAAATGGGTCTTTTGGTTGCCTTTGACGGCGAGGACCGGGCCGTGGAAAAAATGAACGGTTACCAGACTCCCTCTTTGCATGGCAGACAGCATAGTGCTACACAACCAGATAATCCATATACAAACTTCAGTCATGCCTTCAATAATGGTACCCAACATTTGATGATGCATTCCTATGGTGAACAAAACCAAACCTCACGGATGCTTCGGAATGGATATTCGTCTCCGCCAGCTGAATACCTCTCAGAGCAACAGTTTATGGAACCTTCGGAGTATTACACTCTTGAATATCCAGTAGGCTTGCCATCTGGTTGCTCTGATGTGACGGGAAGTTGTCAATGTGGAAATGATTGTAATTGCGTTGGCTGTCTCACGCACAGCGGGCACAATGGCCTTTCTCTTGAACCTGTGACTACCGAGGCCAGCAATCTGTCCCATATTGCCCCCGTGACGACGTCGTCGGACAACCCAGGCATCGGCGTGTCCGGGATACAGGCTTTGGATGATATTACCGTTCCATCGACATCCCCCATGCTGTGAAAGTTTTCCCATCTCAAACTACCTCGCCGCATGTGTCTCTGCTTTACTTATTCTTACGCCGCCTTTCATCTTCGGCCGGCTGTTAATCATGATACCCCTGAATAGATGCTGGACATTAGATCTCTTACGCTCCCAGTCTTCGTGTACAGTTATTTTTCTTTAATTTTCGGGCTGCGTAAACCACGCACGCATTGATACATCCCCTCTCTTATTCTCTGGGCGTTATTCGATTCCTACCTGCGGCTGCCTCTAGCAAATCTCTGGAGAACATCCAGGCAATGGATCACAAATTCCACGGATCTATAGTGTCATCCGTACATGGAATAGCTCGATATAACAATGCAGTATGAATATATTGGCCCTATCACTTGTTCACATAGCTACCTCTAGCGTTTGCATGTAGTCTCGATCGAAGATATTTAGACTGTACCGGCGTATTCTCCGTAAGCTATTCAATTATTTTACACTTGTTGATGCGAATCGAAGACGTAAACTGAAATAATGGCGGGATACAACAATGATGAATTGCATGCTAAACGGCAAACAGAGCCTAGGAATTCTTCTAAACTGCATGAATGAAGCCCCAACCTGACTTTATTCCCTCGGCTATACAGGTATCATACACAATCAAATGCTGAACCCTCTACCGACGCAGTGCGTCTCTAACAGGCGAGTCGCCACGACGGAACGAAGCTATGTCTCATGTTAATCAAGGTTGATAGTTCTATACAAGTCAGTAGCAGGGACCAGAAACGTACAGTCGGCCTCTTCCCAAGCACGTCCAGCACCGAAGCCCAGACCAACCCAAGCGGGCCAAGCCCTCCGCTTGAAGAGGAGCACCGAGAAAACAACACCGAAACCGAGACCGAGGGAGGAGCGAATGATCATGGAGGAGATGGCGCGATCCCACTGTGGTTATGAAAAGTCCGTATTAGCCCCAATTCTGCGAGATTGTATACTCCTTGCTCATTGGAAGCCCCCGGAATAGCCGAGCTGGTGGGCAAAAAGGCCGGGAATTGAGTTTATGTCGGAAAAAAAAATATACAGGATTCAGCCGGCGATTTGTACCTTCTCATTGAGCAATGCCTCACTGACGGGCTTGGTGGCCCGGACGATCGGCTGGGATTCGTTGGAGTCGGCCATTGCGATAGATCTGAAAATCAAGGATTAGCCAAAGGTAGACATTGACGTAGATTGAAGCAGGACTGACTGTGACGAGGGACACAAAGGAGGGAGTCAAGGGTAATCTTTGCGGAATATTCAAGCCAAGGAGGAGGTGATGAAATCGGGTGCGACGTTTGAGCTCTGTCGGGCAAAGGCGGTCGGAAAAACTAGGCTCGGCTTGGGCTGTCGTCACGGGCTTGACTACTTTTTTTTTCTTTGGTCGGGTAGTATCAGGACGCAATGTTAACTCCGCACTGACAAAGAACAAGAGGAAAGATAGGGGAGGGCAGTTCGACACACTCTTCTCGAGATGCCTTCTTTTGCGGAGGTAAGTTAACTACTTGAGATTTTGAGTTTCTCGTGTAAAGTATGTCTGTTGATCTTGTCTTCTCTACAGCGTCCGCGCTCCTCGCAAGAGGCGCTTCTCCGGCTTGAAAAAGGCTCGGGTTCTCCAATCAGCCAACTCAATGAAGCAGCCCAAATCATAGGACTGGATCTGGCGCTATGTGCAAGTCATCCGGAGATTAATAAAACCACCTACGTCCAAGCTCGCGCCGCTCCGAAGGAAGAATGGGTTCTCCGATGGTTATTAAAGAAGTTGAGGGCGGGGAAGAACTATCGTGTCGAGCCTGCGTCTTTTCTCCTGTTACGACAACTTATTGATCTTATTCAACCAAAGACATTAGCGACAACGCTCAAGGACCAGAAGTTTTTGGCGATCCTCGACCACGCGATTACCGACTTGGAGGATGATGTATTTGCCGGTCTTGAAAATGGAATGACAGAGTTGGGCCACTCGGACTCAGAGTCTAGTAAGACTCTCAGCGATTCATCGCCTCAAAGTGATAAAAAGGGAACCAAAAGAAAGAGGGCTGGCGACAGTGAACAAGACGGGATGGACATTGACGAGCAGCCACAGACGCCTACATCGTGCTTCTTGTCCTTCATTCGTGCCTTGGATTGCTTGTACAGCATGGTGATGCTTGCAAGTCGGACGCTTGAGATTGATGAGGTAGCCAGTTCTCATTTGAAGCATGCGCTGAAGGGTGAGCCTGAAACGGTTGCTGTGACGTTAGGGAGGTCGTTCAGACTCGCAGCTGTGGCTTCTACGCAGTTTTCCAACGCGCGGAAGACGACAGATCTGCAACACCTCCTATACGTATTCCCAGCTATCCTTGACCTGTGGGATTTGAGGTCTAACCGTCGTGTGGATACGGACAGTGGATCGAGCAATGTAAGTTTTGCGTCGTGCTGAGTGTCAGAGGGATGTCATGCGCTGACGTTTCTAGGAATCGTTTTCCAAATATTGCTTCCAAAGTGCTCTGAGGTTGCAGCACTCTGTGAGATCCACCCAGCTTGACACTGATGAAAGGGCTCAAGTCCTGCATGGGGTTGAGCGTTTGATCGCCCTCCATGTGGTTCTTCCAGCACGGGCCGCCTTTTTTGATAGAGGGGGATCAGGCATAGATTATTCGGCCAGCGAACCGGACTGGAGCGCTGTGAAACCTGTTTCCGATACTTTTAGGCCCATTCTTTGTGAACTCGAGCTCCCCAGCCAAAACACCAGTGGTGATATCGTCAAGAAGAAAACGTTATGGAAGACGGCAGAACTTCTGCCCGAGTTCTTCGACATCGCCTGTCGATCGGTTCCTAGGGACACTTTCCGAAGACAAACACACGATGCGCCTTGGTTGGAGACACTGTTCGTTGCAATTGCCGAGCTCGCATTCTCTATCGTGAAAGCTGAGAACACTACTACTTACCTTCCCGAATTTGTCGGTGTCTTGGAGCGGCTTTTCCGCGTCGCCCTCGACCGGAACGTGCAGTTGTCTTTGCATACTTTGCTTACTCATGCTTCCTACACCGGCCTGCACAGAGACGGACTGTCGCAGGTTGAGTGGAGCTTAACTGCATTATTGATCGAGCTTGGGGCAGACATATTCTTACCGAATTCTGGACTCAGTAACTCGACTCAATTGCTGGATGCGTTACTTAAAAAGATTAACCTACACTGGCGTAGCGGTGCGTCACAAACAGGTGGCTGTTATGAGACCATCAAAAATGGCGTCTTGATTCCTTTGATGCGCGCATTTATGAGTGCGAGAGACTTAGCCACTTTCATGCAGTTGTGGTATGAGCAACTCATTGAAGTAGAAGAAGCACGATCGCAAGACAATAGCGTGGGCCTTTTCACTGTCTGGGAAGATGATGATGTATGCAATGTCTACGGTGATTTGATGCGCAGCCCCCTTACCCATACATATGCCTCTGCGCAAATGCATGCAGCCGCGACTGAGATTAGGGCCGAGGATGGCAGAGTTGCCAAGTCCGCCGGAGCTTACGCTCAGTTTGTCATCCTGGAAGCTGGTTTTAGAAACCGTGATTTGAATGCTACAGATTCCTATGACGATCTGGTTTCTATTATTGAGACATTCAAGTCAACCTTGTCTTCGAAGCAACACTTGCATTGGAGATGGCGGTTGTGGAGGCTGGCCCGCAGCCTTCTCGAGAACAATGTGCACTCCACTGACAACACTCTTGCTGGTACAATTATGGGCTTAGTTGAAGCTGCGTCGAAGTCTATCAAGCGCCACCAGAAGGACCGGATGCAGAAATTATGTGCTCCCCTGGAGTGCTTCGAAGCATATCGATTTACTGTTACTGCAATTAGCGTGTCTGCAAAGTCTAGCTATACTGATGAGTTCAACATGCTCACCAAGGACATTGCGGAGTTTATGAAATCTAGATCCGGCGAATTAACACCCCAGTCCACTAATTCTCCATGGAATGGTCGGGTGGACACTCTCGACTCTATGTACCTCGTCCTGGCTTACTTTTTGACCCTTGTCAGGTGCCCGGATGTCTGGCGCCAGGTCAACGTTGAATCCCGCCGCTCTCTCTTTCAAAATATGCTCTCCTTAGCAACATCCCAGTATCACCCGTCGTCGACCCTTGAGACGCCTCCATCTGAGGCAAGGTTCTTACAAGCCTGGGCGAGTGTGGTCTGCCACGAATACCTTCTTAATGCTCCTGCCATCGCCGTAGACCTGATTACTGTCCTATCGGAACGAGTCAAAGAGGACGCCTCGAATAGGAGACTTTATGTTGAGAGTCTCCAGAGAATCCCTACGGCGCTTATTACACGCCGCCAGAGGGGACTGCTCCTAGACCTCTTGCAGGATGTTGTCATACAGGAAGATAGCACGGCTGAAATCACTGTAGGGATATTGTCCCTGATGGCGAAGCTGGCCGACATGCCCAAGTCCACGGCAGCTCTGACCAGCGATTGGGAACCAATCTGGACAGTAGCTAAAGCTGTCAGTTTGCAGGGGACAGAGATTGATCTGCAGATCATGAAAGCATTCAGAAACTTACATCGAGCAGTCGTATCTAAGCTCCTTGTTCTCTCCGAAGAAGATTGCCGCAGACTGTTCAAGAAGATGTATCGCAAAGTTTCGTCCAAGGCATCCAAGTTGCAATCTATTGACCGTGATTCCATGGATTGCTTTTTCTTGAGGATCTCCTTGTCTCAGCTCTGGCTCCACCGTAAGCGACTTTCTGGTGTTGATGAGACAGAATTAGCTGCATGCCGCCAAAAGGTTTTCGACTTGGTCGTGATGGAAGTCAAGTCCGTCAAAGATCAATGCAAGAAGCAGAAATTAGAGGAGACTATTACTTTGATAAAGATCCTGGATGCATTGGAGGACTTTGAGGATCTGGCAACTGATCACGCTGAAGTTGAGAAGTTCTTGACCAAGATCGAGAATTATGTCGAAAAGTCCGTGGACTCAGGGTCTTCACTGAGGAGGCTCATCAGGCGTCGTGTCTTGGCCGGTAAAGGCACAGAGAAGACTATCACGCTGCCTGTTATAAGTTGCGTCGAGACACTGCCGCTCCAACATATGTATGGCGAAGAGCAGCAGCTTTTTATTCGATCAACAACTGCCAGGTTCCAGTCGATGACTGTGGACCAGCTGACTCAAGTAGTCCAAGACGTCCGAGAACTCGGATTCGATGGAGAAAATGCCGCCTATCACCTCCTCGTTTCCGGCTTAGCTGTCGCCTCACTAACCCCTGTCGAAGATAAGGAGAGCAGCACAGCCAAAGAACTCTCTCTTCTGTGCACCGCCGTCACGGATTCAGTTCGCCGTAGCAGATCCATCGAACATTTTACGCTTGCTACAGAATGTATAGATATTCTTCTGCGTACCCACACACGCTGCATTACTCAGTGGAACATCGACAGTCTTCTGGCATGTGTTGCGGTGTGCGCTTCAAAGACTGGTCCACTAATTAGTCCCGACTATTCCGCATCAATTTATATTCGACTATGTCGGTTGATGGGCGTGCTCTTTGGTCTTCACCGCCAGAAACTCGGTGGTCGTTTCCACCTAATCCTGCCTGCCATGCAGCGACTGCTTAACTGCTTGTTCGCTCGCAGTAAGAAGCGCACAAGGTCTATGCTGTCGGAGAAGCGATCCGCTCAGCAACCATTCTGGCTTGCACCCCTGCAGGCAGCTCACGCCGTGCACTTTACCCGTCTTCTCACATCACTTTGCGACCCGACCGTTTCTGCGGTGTCGAGGCCCACCCAGACCGGGCTGAGCCACGAGGGCTTGACTGACCAGACCAAGAAAGCTAAGCGTATCGCGGGTCAGTATCTCCAGTATCTCATCATGGAGTATGCGGAGAGCTCCCTGCGCGGCTCACTGGCACCCGAAGTCAAGACTGCCATCCTACCAGGTCTCTACTCCGTCTTGGATGTGATGTCACGGGATACCATGCGGGCATTGAATGCCGGACTAGATGTATCCGGGCGTGCGATCTTCAAGGGTCTGTATGATGACTACGTGAAGTTCGGCAAGTGGAATAAGGGATGATGGGAGTTGTGTTGGTAAAATTAGCGGCGTGTATTAGACTGGACAGTTGTCTGGAGTTAGTGATGGGAGTCTAATGTACTTAACAGACATTGTCTACATATCAAACGCAATGAGTGTATGACGATGCGCCTGTTTCAGATATCATCGTTGATATGTATATATAGATATTGGCAGCATTGCCTACAATTCATATTGTTTGAAAACCATGTATGAGGCAACGCGTGGTATATACTGTCTTAGCGCCCTATAGTCATGATTTGGCATGTGGACTTCCCCATATGTTTTGTTGATCAAAATGTGTGCCACCAGAACCATGGCCAAGGCAATATGTGATGGCATTGGCAAAATCTTAGTATATTCTGAGTCTACCTAAGAGAAGAAAATTCTATGAATATCCTAGACCATCAAACGGAATCGGCGCGAGCTGAAGAACCGTCTCTGGCTGGATTTTGTAGGTTCCTATTGTCATCAGTTGGTCTTTTTTTTAATGAAGACCGCGCAAGCATAGATTCCTGAGCGAGAATGGCATCATGCGGTTCATTTAGCGGTTTATAGTGTTTGATCACCTGGTTATGATACGTTGTAAGGCGTTCCCATCCAATATTGGCTACGATCATAATTGTAGGGTGAATGTAGTATGAGAAGTACATACTTCTAAAGCTTTAAAGCTTTTAGTAGTTGAATCACCTTTAGGTTAGTAGGGCTAAGTCCTTACCCAAGATAGTCTTATCTATACGCCCTCATCTTCAAAAAAAAGAAAAAAAAAGAAAAAAAGAAAAGAAGAAAAGAAGAAAAGAAGAAAAGAAGAAGAAGAAAAGAGAAAAGAAAGGCAAGCAAATTCTAATTTCCTTAAGGACCAGGCTCCGTGCCAGGAACAACGATACTGTATGTACTACTAGCATCTCTTGGGGTAGTTCCCTTCCTCTCGCTCTATACCGTGAATGGTCTTCCGCTTGATTGGAGCTTGGTAAGAGATAAGGGATCTGCCACTGGCTTCTAGATTTTTCTTCAACAAAATCAGGGGGGGAATAACTTTAAAAAAAGGTATTGATCAATACCGTCAATTACCGAGGATTGAGCAGGACTTTTTAAGGTCTCTCCGGAACACGTGATATATTCTTATCGTATCATCTGCCGCAGGGAATAAAAGGAATGGATGCAAAGTTACTGCTTACTCGATGTGATCGAGTCAGCACAGGAGAAACGATGAGGCAGCGATTAGATATGCCCAGTCCACCGACTCCACTGTGGCTCCACTCAGACCATCTTCATAGGCCGAAGATGACGGTGAAGCCCCAGTCACGTCCTGTTTGCGGAGAGCTTATCGCAGATAACGGAGGGTGGTTCACTTTGTTACTCGACCAAATAGAGCAACAGAAAACTAACGGGCGCGGTCAGCTCTCAATTTCCCCCCTTGGCGAGCGGCTCGTGGAGGGTGATAAGGAAACGGTGGCGCAGCGATCAGATGTTCCCTCTTATCAGCTTTTTGTCATGAAGGTTGGTTAACTTCCTCAAGGATTATCGTGGGTGAGGATGGATGTCAATATCGGGTTCTGGGGGACTCCTCATTGGTTGACATGGGGGTGGTCGATGACGATGCTGCCTTCCCCATACTGCAACACGGAGAACCTTTGTTTTTCTTTATAAAGAAGAAGGAGGGACGGATGAAGAGGAAGAAATACTATCAATCGTGACTAGTATTTACTACTGTACATCTCTCCCTCCATCTCTCCCTCCCTCTCATCAATCTATATTTCTCGTCCCCCTTCTCGACTTTACTTATTATCCTTATCCCATCCTGAATGTAATTCCTCTATTGTTCGAATCATATCCCCACTACATTTACTATCGGCTTCACTCTCACTCCCACCCAAGTCACAGAGGATTCTCAAATTATGGCGCGAATCAAAGAATGGGTTGAGAAGCTGGAGGTGCCGTCGGAACCCGGCCTGACCAACACACAATTGATGTTGACGAACCATGACTTGCGGCCAGGTGAGATCATTTGAACTGGCCGGCGCATCTCCTCGAGACGCCTCTTTGCTGCCTCTTTTCCTTTGTGCACTAGACCTCATATCCCCAGAGGACGAGTAAAGCTGACCGAGTGGACCTTGGGATTGCGTCGTGAGTTACAGTCGAACCCGAGCGTCGTCAATGGAAATGGTTCAACTTCGTCGCCTTCTGGATTGCAGACTCATTGAACATTGTGGGTGACAAGTCCTTCCTCCTTTCCACAGAGGAGCTTGATGCTAACATTTTCGTCTCGGAACAGAACACGTGGATGATCTCGTCCTCGATGATCGTTGATGGTTTATCATGGTGGCAGTCATGGATTTGCGTCTGGGTCGGATACTTCATTGCTGCCTGCTTTGTATGCTTGACGGGTCGCATCGGTGCCGTTTACCACCTTTCCTTCCCGGTGGTCTGTCGATCCACATTCGGCGTTTGGGGGTCGCTCTGGCCGGTGTTCAATCGAGCTGCAATGGCGGTTATTTGGTACGGTGTTCAGGGTTACATCGGAGGTATGCACACTGTTCTAGGCCCCTCACCCACACCCAGGAGTGACTTATGATGCTGTCATGGACTTATCTGACGCAAAATAGGCCAGTGCGTGACATTAATGATCAGCTCAATCTGGCCCAGTTATAACCACCTGCCCAACTCCATTCCCGCCAGTTCGGGCGTCACAACCAGGGACTTCGTGAGCTTTTTTCTTTTTTGGCTACTCTCTCTGCCAGCCCTTTGGTTTCCTGTGCACAAAATCCGGCATCTCTTTACTGTCAAGGCAGTCTATTCGCCGATTGCGGCTATCTCTTTCTTCGCCTGGGCCATCGCACGCGCCAAGGGCCTTGGGCCCATTGTGCATCAGCCACACACCGTACACGGCAGTGCGCTGGCGTGGGCGGTGGTGAAGGCGATCATGAGCTGCTTGGGCAATTTTGCGACGCTGATTGTGAACGATCCCGACTTTTCGAGGTTCGCCCGGAAACCAAAGGATGCACTATGGTCTCAGCTCCTGACAATTCCCATCGGCTTTGGAGTCACCTCTTTCATCGGTATCATTGCGTCCTCATCCTCGGCGGTTATCTTTGGCGGAGAGATGGTGTGGAATCCTCTCGACTTGTTGGGCAAATTCCAGGTTGGCGCCAGCTCGGCAGAGCGATTTGGGATCTTTGTGATTTCTACAGGGTTTGCTCTAGCTCAGTTGGGAACGAACATCTCTGCAAACTCCGTTTCCGCGGGTACGGATATGACGGCATTGCTTCCGCGATATCTTACGATCCGGCGCGGAAGCTATATTTGCGCCGCTGTTGGTCTAGCTATGAATCCAGTAAGTACCCTGACGCGTCTCCTTTGGGGGCTATCTGACAGAAGTGCAGTGGAACCTCGTTGCCTCATCCAACAGCTTCACCACTTATCTCTCTGCCTATTCGATCTTCCTCTCTTCCATCGCGGGTCCCATGCTGTGTGACTATTACATCGTCCGCAAGGGTTACCTGCGAGTGAAAGAACTGTACACTGCACAGGAGGGCTCTGCATACCGATTTGTCTACGGCTTCTCGTGGCAGGCATATGCCTCGTATATTGCAGGAATCCTCGTCAATATCGTCGGCTTCGCTGGTGCCGTCGGACGCAAGGTGCCTGTGGGCGCCCAGTACATATACAACGTTAACTACTTCTCGGGAATAGTTGTGTCTGCCCTCATGTACTACATCCTGACCCGGTTCTTCCCCGTCCCCGCGACTAGCTCCACCTGGTCAGAAGTCGATCAGGATGTGGACAGTCTGTCTATCGCGTACGGAGAGGAAGTCGACGCGTACGATGTACCGGAACCGACGAAGGCAGATTCTCTGAATTATGGCACGCTCCAGGAGCGGAAAATACCGAAGGCTGGATCATCAGCCGCTGTATGACTAATGAGATATGATTTATAATACCTATGCTTAGTGGTAGATTGTTTGACTTCATCATCATTCGATTTTAATAGAATTAAACACGCGAGATGATAGTTTATATCATTCTTCAATTGAGCCTTATTATGGAAACTGTTGCTATGCCCCAAGGAATCTTTCGAAGCGAGAGGGCAGTCGTATTACCCCAAAGCAAAACTTCACCATCCAAGCTCCTGATATCTTGACCACATTATTTTTAGATCGCCAAACCACGGTATCAAAACCTCATACACCTTCGGCATTATCATAACACCAGATGTTCATTTCACATAAATCACACCTTTAGCGAGTAGTATATCCACCGTTAGCGAAGATGGTCTGACCAGTGATCCAGGCGCCCTCCGTGCAGAGGAACCGAACAATCGGAGCGATATCCTCGACCATCGTCAGACGGTTGCCCATACCGTTGGACTTGTGAAACTCGACAGCCTCAGGAGATTCCTGGGGGTAGAAGAATGCTATTTCGAGTACTTGGTCAGACATTGTTTTCTTGCTTTTTGGACTTTTCTGAGGGTAACTTACGGGTGTCCATTGGTCCCGGGGCAATGTTGTTGACGCTGACGCGGCGGGATTGAAGTTCTTTGCAGACGCCTCTGTTGATGTGTTAGTGTTTGTTTTTGGGATAGGACTTGTGGATAGATGAGGTTGGTTGATTAAAACATGGTAACTAGGTACATACCGAGTGAAATGCTCGACGGGAGCCTTGCTACCAGCGTAGGAGGTATAGTATCCTGTGAAAGCGCCGAGGAGAGCAGTGACGATCGTGATGATCTTGCCCCCGTCCGTGACATGCGCGGCAGCTTCTTTGAGGACAAAGAATGCTGTTTTAGAGTTGATTCTGTTTATTTCCAATATGTTAGTTCCCATCACTCGTTACCTGTCCTTGTTTGGGAAATATATATATGTAGAGCCAGTAGATAGATGGACCAGGAATAGACCTACGCAAACATAGTATCATATTCCTCCTCCGTTATCTCGGTAATAGGCTTCTTGAGGACCTTGCCCACCGTGTTGACCACGATATCAATCTTTCCGAAATCCTTCAGGGCATCCTGGAAGAGCTTCGTCACGGCTCCGGCGGAGGTAAGGTTTCCTTGGTAGAACGCGACCTTGATGTTAGGGTAGGACTTCTTCAGCTCGGCCTCTAGTGTCGTAGCATCGCCCTTGCTGCTGTCGGAGTGGTAGTGGAGGGCGAGGTTTGCGCCGGAGGATGCGAGCTCGCGAGCAGCAGCGGCACCGAGGTTCTTGACGCCGCCGGTGATGAGGGCGACTTTTCCGTTGAGGGCCATATTTTTTTTCTTCTTATTCTCTTCTTAGTGTGGATGTGGGTGTGAGTGAGTTGGTATAGGAAGGATAGGTAGTTGATTAGAGTTAAGATCGAGATGAGTACTAGTGTTATACTTCGCAGCGATTCTTGAATTCAGAAGAGGACGAAGACTCCGACACGACGTAATTCGATCTTTTTATAATGACCCGTGGAGCCATGATGATGATGGTGATGTCGTCGACCCAGACTTACTCTCTGGAACTATTCCCGGGGTTTGAATCTCTTTGTTTCTGGGATTTCTATCATATTCGGTTTATGGATTGAATTGAGTTAAGTATGTGTTATCCGGAAACGGTAAGCGGGGTGAGGGTCCAACTCCACTTTGGGTTGTTCTTGGTTGGTGGCGGGTCTGGAAAATCGCACGGTTTGGTAATGGTGATGTCCGATTTGGGATATTGCATATTTGCATGATCCCTTTGTTTTTGTTGTCATCAATCATGATTGTTAATTTGAGATATGGAGGTCCAATGGGAGAACTTGTGCAGCCGATTACAATCTGATTGATCTGGGAGTTTAACCGGATAGAGTGTGGCCCGTCTGCGAGTGATATCCCGATTTAGACAGAGCCACGTTGCGGTCGTGTTTGGGAGGGGCAATGAAAAAAATAAAAATAAAAAAACAGAGAACTTCCTATTTAACTCCGGATCCCACGCTACTGATATTACATACATAAATATAAGAATGACATCCCGAATGCTGTGCTCAATCACGAAGATGCAAGAAAATGACCAGGATTGGGCTCGGGAGCCTGACCCGGCGCAAAGGTAGCGCCAGGATAATAGAGCGCCGATCCGTGCAGGAAGGCAGCGTTGCGGTCGATCCAGACCACTATCCGTCGGAGCAATCCATTCAGACCAAGCGCTGATAGACCGCCTCGCAACCCAACTGCTCGGGTGAGTCCTCTCATGTGCACGCTATAACTCCCCATGTCCCCGTACATCGCTTCATAACTTCCCATCTTCGCTATCGCACCTACCAGCGCATCATCGACCCGGTCCGGTGGTTGATACTTCAAGGCATCGTTGATGGCTTGGACCGCCTTACAGCGAAGATTAAGAAGGTCCAATTTCATGCCTGCGGTGTGCTCGCTCACAGACGCATAATGGGATGCTGCGAGTAGCATGATGACCAGGAAGAGGGCGCGATTTGTCATCACCAAAGGGAACCAGCTGGTTCTCAGAAGGCCTTTGTTCCCTGGTTGATCGAGCTCGGGGATGTCCACGGCCATATGCATCAGGTCTTAATAGAGTACCATCAGTATGGTTCTACTTGCTATGGATGGTGACACTAATTCCACACTTACAGTGATCCACGAGGACCGGCATGAACGGCTTGAAGCTGGCTGGATAGGACCGAAAAGGGTCGTCTCGCAGTCCCCCTAACTGCAGAGGGATGGAGACGGTGGAGGGCCCATCTAAACCGTCGGGAGAGTCGTCCTCGGAATCACTTCGTGGTTGCCAGGATGAATAACAGCTTATGTCCATGCAGAACGACAGCACCGCATTTCTTTTTCGCTTGAGAGACGGGCGACTCTCGACTTTCTTCCACTGGTACCGAGCCACGTGGGATCGAATTTCAGGTTCCTTAGCGAGCTGAAGAGCGTCCTTCGGCTCCTTGACATTTATAAAGACAAATTCCATGCCCATCCTGAGTTCTTTGATTGGAAGGGGGGAAAAGTTCAATTGATTGATTGATTGATTGATTGATTGATATGTGTGTGTGTGTGTGTGTGTGTGTGTGTGTGTGTGGGATGCTATAGTACTAAAAAGTGTAGCCGTCGCTACGCAAGGACAAGCATCAACACTTTGTTATGTTTTTTCTTTTTCTTTTCACTTTGCGTCTCGACTGGTTACGAGAAGACAACGGTGGGAGAATTTAAGGAGATGAAGCAGCTGTCATTCGTTTGGGGTCTGGATGTGATCAGTGATAATGCAGGAGAGAGGGGATCCTGTCGAATTGACTGCTCAGCCGTACCCGACCGGCACTAAAATCCTTTGATGGTGCAAAAGTCCCCTAAGTGGGGGTGGGCCCCACCAATACAGACCAATGGTAGCAGAGATCGACCATCAGAGTTAAGGATTTTAAGGCGATCTTCCTGGTTTGGCGCTGACTATCAACACTAGTCAACTTCATCCATTCCCTTCTTCAGCTCTTTGAATGTGAATTCTCTCGGAAAACAATCCTCCATCTTCCCCCACAATATGATTCATGGTCGGTGACATATGCACTGGTCGACAGACTTGAAACGAATAATAATCCCTCGGAACTCTTTTCCCCGCAGCTGATCTTTGTCTTTTTGACTGGTGAATGGAATGCTGCGTTGCTCCCATTATCGCAATGGCAACCCGCCCCTATACTAGCGATGGGCTGGGTCCAGCTCGCCCACGGTGTCTCCACATAGCACCTCTTTTAAGCTCATTGCCTCGCTCTATGACCCCCCTCCCCTGGCCCCCCATACTGATAACTACTGTACATAGCTCGATTTGGAGAGTTGCTCTGAACCAGCTCATTGCAATAGTTGCTTTATTATATGCCCCCTAGCTAGGAAGACAATGCCACAGCCAGCTCGCCATGCTATTAAAGGGGTACGAATAATGGGATAGCGAACAAAACATTGCGATGCCGTAGGGTCAAAGCACATCGCGTTCGGATGTGGTGGTGATTGAACCTAAAGATATGGCTTAATCCGCCGTGAATGATTTTTTACCTGTCACATTTGTTCATTAGGGGTCGCTTGTATCTTTGCTCCTGACATATACTATTCTCAGAACCTCGCAGGAAAATGACGCGTATTCGACTTGATCTGAGCCCATTTGGTGTCATTTCATTTCGCTATGGTCTCTTTTCTTTGGGTGAATTATATATATATGATATTTTGGTATTTCATGACGAATATCCAATCCACCGGTGTCTGTATATTATCACCTAGACTCTTCGGTTAGCTTGCTATAACTCGACACAATGGATGTTCAGGGATACAACAGATAGTAGTAATGATCAGGAAATACGGGAGGGATTCCACTCTGGAGTTCTATTGTTCAGGCAACCCATTTATCTTGAACGTACAGCCATTTAATACGAGAGAGACACGTGCATCACCCACACATGTGATGTGGGGTACAAAAGCTGACGAACGCATCCTGGATTATTCGACTGTGATTGTGATATGTATGTACCTCCATCAATATATTTTACCATGGTCTCGAGTACAGTCTTTGTCGTCGCTCAGTTCGCTCTCGCCGCCCTGGTGGCCCATGTGATCTATCAGTGTTACTTCCACCCGCTTGCGCGTTACCCCGGACCTTTCTTGGCTCGGTTCACCAATCTCTGGTTTGTCCTAAACCTAAGATTAACACCCCATTCTACGGGCTGAATTGCCAAGCGCGCTAACCAATCTACCTACATAAAGGAGACTGTTCACGTTTTTTGGCGGTCGACATCATCTGTCGGAGCAGCATTTGCATGATAAATATGGTCATGTTGTCCGCGTAGCGCCAAATTGGCTCTCGTTCTCCGACCTACAAGACTTCGATGCGATCTACGGTTTTAACAAATCGGTCGAAAAAGACGACTTCTATCTGTTTGGCCACCCTCGCGACAATCGCGTGCCGAGCGTATTCGCTCTAAAAACTGATGCAAATCATCGACAGAGGAAACGCAAGGTAGTTGGGCCAGCCTTGACAAGCGCGAAGATAACAAGATATGAATCCGTTATAACAAAGCATGTGAACCTCTTCTTTACGCGGACAGACGCCGCGTCCTCGTCAAGACAAGATGGGGAGATGGCCGCGGTGAATCTGGCACCGCTGGCTCATCGGTTCACTATGGACGTAATGCTTGAGCTTATATATGGTCCCGATGTCGTCTCGCATCCGTATACCGACTCCGCGACCGGGGCCGATATGTGTTCGGTCATGCGCAAGTTGGTTAAGATGGCGTGGAGCTTCTCGCTCTGCCCATCATACGGCTGGATCATGAACAGCCGTCTCGTCAGTGGAGTGTTGCGCACGCTGACCACCAGTAAACAGGGCGGTCCCACAGGAATGATGGCACTCATGACTTCGAGCCACACAATGATCTTTCGGGGTCCTGAACAGGTTGGCCTACCTGCACAGCCCGGGATCGTAAGAAGTTGGTTAGATATTCCCCTTGATGATTCCAGTCGGATGACTCAAGATGAAGTATTTTCGGAGGCAGTAAACCTGGTGTTTGCCGGACCAGGTAGCGTAGCTGCGGCTCTAACGGCCATGATCTACCAATTGGGAACACAGGAAGGTCAACTATGGCAGGAGAAGCTACGAAAGGAGACTGATGTCGAAGCACTACCATTCTCCCTCGAGCTTCAAGCGGTTGTTAAAGAGACTCTGCGTCATTGCGCCTCTTTTCCCACAGCTTTTCCTCGAGTCATCAGACCCGGTGCCGAAACTGTAGTATCCACTCTGCCAGCTCCACTCCCCATCGGTACCATGGTGTCCGCAAATACTTATGTTTTAGGCCGGTCGCGTAAAATTTGGGGCAGCGATGCTGATCAATGGCTTCCGCAGCGATGGCTAGGGGACGAGTCACTACATCGGGAGATGGAAGCCAAACTGGTGGCTTTCAGCAAAGGGTCGCGAAGCTGCATTGGTAAAGAATTAGCCTGGCTGGTCCTTGCAAAGGCGATCATAGCCATCATTCGACGCTGGAAGTTTGTGAGCGTAGGAGAGCTTCGGGGGAAGAGTTATTTGGAAATGCAGTATGAGGATTGTTGGATTGAGTATGAAGAATTGGCGTGAGCTTGTTGATACGGTAATGACGCATGTGTACTCCGTACTCCGTACTCTACGCTTGAATGGGAGTCGGAGATTGACTTAATTAATTCATGGTGTTGAGTCACGACGTGGCTGAGCTGAGCTGAGCTGAGCTTTCCTTCCATTTCGGGAGCCCGACGAGGCTGCTCAGCCGCGAGTGAGATCTTTAGATCTCAAAAGATCTACATCGCCTAAAGTTAACTATCCACACTCCCTCTCCACCAGAGGTGAAATTAATTCGCTCTTCTTAGCATATATAACCCAGAGTTTCGCCAGCACTAATTTTCTGTCTTTCATCTTCTCTTGTCCACCGGCCTCTGCTGTCTCCTTTGGACTCTTAACGGGAGTCAACATTCTATTGGTACCTGATCCAAGAGTTGATCATCTCAGGTACTCATACCCACTGCATCTCTCCCTTCGCGTCTCTCTTCCAGTTAGATCGTTAACCCGAGAGAAGTAATCATGTCTACCTCCGGAGCTCTCCCGCAGACCCTTCGCTCCATCACCGATATTAAAATCACCGAGCTCTCCAAGCAACGCTCGCTCTTCGAGAAGCAACGAAAGGGGGTTCTCAAAGCAGCGGCAGACGCACCCGATCTGCGATCCAAGGCTCGGGTTCTCTTGGAAGGAATTACCAAGCTTAATGGCTACCCGAATGATGCTTTCGACCGAGAGGATCTGGATACGCATTCTGGAGAGTCAGAGGCCGAGACTACTGTGCAAGACAGTACCGCCCGTGCTGCCCATGTCAATATCCGCCGCTTTCTCCTGCAGAGCCAGTTTGATCCGTCAGTGTCGGATCGGAGCCTAGGCGATTGGGTTGCGCAGCTCGAGGAAGAGTTAAATTTCCTGCATACCCGCCACGAACATGCTTCATTCTACAGCAACCTGGTCACGGAGTGGCTGACCGGCCTTGAGACTGAGGAGGACGCTGCCGAGGCTAAGGAACAAGGCTCCGAGTCTGACGCCACAAGACGTGCAGAAATGCAGGAGCAGCGAGCAACGTGGGAGCAGTATGTTTTCAACGACGCGAATGTGGATGAAAAAACAATCAAGGAATACCTTGACGGTCTGTTCACAAAGACGAATCAATCTCAGCAAGCGTTGAAAACCCTGCGGCAGAAGGTGAAGACCTTTGGAGATGAAAGTACATCGACACGCACCCATTTTGACGTTGACACACTTAAGTGGGTGAGCAAGGCCCTCTTAAAATCAGACTCTCTCACCAGGGAAAAGGCCGAAATCTTGAAGGATTTTATGCTCAACAAGGCTGTTGCCCAGGAGGTGGCGGATGTTTTGAACATGCGTCTCGCGACCCTTGACAACTGGCACTGGCCGTCCGATGGTCTTCCTCAGGAAATGCGTCGCCACCTGAACGGCAAGTACCGGGTCTTCCAAGATGAGGATCTGCTGGACAGTCTTCTGTTCCAGTATATCGGCCTCCACTGGGCGGTGACTTTCCGGGCTGCATTTGTCAATTTTCAGAAGACCTGGGCCTGGAAAAGCCTGCGCCAGCCTATATCGAAGTCGGAGCGGGTACGGCGTCAGCACTTCCTCGGTAAGGACCACGCGCGGTGTATCAGATCCGTGAACCAGGAGAGACGCGATGTGTACAGAACTGATTATTTCATGACTCAATTGCCTCGCTCAGTAACTGCAGGTGGGCTGGGGTACGATGATGAGAACGACACCGACGATGTTGAGGAAGCGAACCGCAAGAACGCCCTGGAGACAAAGCACTCGCTCCTCCATCTCCTGATTACGGAGTCTATCGTGCAGACCCGGATTCATGGACAATTCACGGCTATTCGGTCGGACTTCAAGTACTTTGGGCCGTCTATCCCACATACCACGATGCTCACAGTGTTGGCGTACTTTGGAGTGCCACAGAATTGGCTCGATTTCTTCAAGAAGTTCCTGGCATGCCCCCTCAGGTTTACTCAGGACGGACCAGAAGCTGTGGTGCAGACCCGTAGACGCGGAATTCCCATAAGCCATACACTCTCGGACTGCTTCGGGGAAGCTGTACTGTTCTGCATGGATTATGCAGTGAATCAAAGCACGGATGGTGCGTACTTGTATCGCATGCATGATGATTTCTGGTTCTGGGGTCAGAAGCAGACTTGTTTCAAAGCTTGGAATACTATGACCGAGTTTGCTCAAGTGATGGGTCTCGAGTTTAACGAGGAGAAGACCGGGACAGTGCATCTGGAGAACAAAGACAAATCCGGCCAACAGCCATATCAAGACCTGTCTTCCTACACAAAGACTCAGGAAACCGAGGGCTCGGATACTCTACCTACCGGCGACATCCGATGGGGGTTTCTGAAGCTTGATGCCCAGGAGGGCCGATTCATCATCGACCAAGAGCAAGTGGACAACCACATCTCGGAGCTCCAGCACCAGCTCTCTGCATGCAAGAGCGTCTTCTCCTTCGTTCAGGCTTGGAATAGCTACTTCGGTCGCTTCTTCGTGAATAATTTCGCCAGACCGGTCATGTGCTTCGGACGGAGTCACATCGATATGGCCATCACCACCCTTAACCGTATTGAGCGCACTATCTTCCCTGATTGTCACAGCGGCGTCACTGATCACCTTCGAAAGATGATCGCTGAGCGATTCGATATCCACGATCTTCCCGAGGGCTTCTTCTACTTCCCCGTTGAGTTTGGCGGCCTCGAACTGACGAACCCGTACATTCCTCTTCTCGCTATCCGCGAGAACATCGAATCAACACCTTCCGGCCGCCTTCAAAAGGCCTACAACAAGGATGAGGCCGAGTATCACGCCGCCCAAGAACGATTTGAGAAAGACGGGCCTGAGGAACCAGCCTCTGATGAAGTTTTCGGTGACGATGAGGACCCGACTGCTTTTATGTCCATTGAAGAGTACACCCGCTACTCAGAGACGTATAGTGACCATCTTTTCGACGCATACCATGATCTCGTCTGCACCCGGCGCGAAGTGATCATCGACCAGTCACCCAAGTTTCGCACCAACCAGATGACATTGGAGGAGGACCCCAGCAGCCGCCTGGTCCTTTCAAACAACTGGGATTCAATGCCACCGTACTGGAAGTGGACCGGAGAGCTGTACCAGGGAGAGATGGTGAAGAAGTATGGAAGTTTGGCCGCAGTGAGTAAGGAGCTCATGCCATTGGGAGTCGTGCAGACCTTGAAGCAAGGCAAGTTCCGGTGGCAGAGTTAGTTTGCATTAGATGCCCTTTATGTTGTGTTATACTCTAGGTAATAAAAGTGCTGTTCAGTTGTTTATTGCCTGTCATGATATCATTCATCGTAAGACACGTGTTGTAGAAAAAGACTTTGTAATATCACTCTCTATAACCGGCCTCAAACTCATCTAATAGTCTATACAGCCGCTTCTTCTCCTCCTCGCCTCCAAAAATCACTCTAACAGCTCTTCGAGCTATATCCACAACATCGGCGCGAGTGAGATTGAAATGCTCCGCCGCAAGGAAATACTCATTTGACACAGGACTACAAAAGAAGCCCACATCATCCGTCTATACACGATTAGCATCACCACTTCCACCCCCTTACCCACCACCACCACCAACAACAACAACAAATGAAAAAGAGAAAAGGAAAGATAGAAGAAAAACTCACACAAAGCACAACCGGACACTCCTCAACCCTCCACCACTCCCTAAAATGATGCTCTAAAAACCCGCCATCAAAAAGCCTCGCATGAACATTACAACTCATACACAACTCCAACCCCATCTTTCGCCGAATAATCTCCCCCCTCAGCTCCTCAGGCACATGAATTACATGCCCTAACCGATCCGGCCTAAATGCTAATATCGTCTCCAGCTCCCCCTCCTTCGGCGGTGTCCTCACCTCCGCAAAATGCACCGTAACGCCCAACCCAGCCGCCTTGGCCTTCGCCAGCGCGGGCCCGAAAATCGCCATATCCCCCTTACTCGGGTTTCCGGCGATGTCCACCCCCACGACAAGCGGTTTGTGGGCAATGGCTAGGGTGACAACGGTATCTGCGTCGGCGGGGTTGTGCCCACCGCGGTCGAGGGCGAGGATGAGTCGGATTGTTAGGTCGGGGTGGCGATCGGTAAAGGCAGTTATTGTGGAGAGGATGGTTGTTATGTAGGCTTCTTGGGTGAAGTTGGGGCTGGGGCGGGGGATCGTGCGGAGTTCGAGGTATTTGATGCCATCGGCGTGGAAGTCGGATAGGACGGAGGTTGTGGCGTAGGTTATTGAGGGTAGATCGGTGAGGAGGTGATAGGTGAATGTGCCGAAGGTGTTAAAGAATCTATTTTTCTCATGTTATTATCAATCATCATCATCATAATCCTCCCTCGTTCGAAAGCTATATTTATTTTGTATGGTTGATTACGATCCTAATTATGCAGTTGGAGGGGGAAGCACAGACGTATCAAGTGTGTAGTCTACCTTGCCCGGGGGCATGACGACCCAGGGATCTGGGAGGTCAAATGTGGGGTCTGCGGCGCGCTTTTGGAGCCATAGCTCGTGGAGACATTGGCGGCTTATGCTGCCGCTGAGGTGGGCGTGGAGCTTGGTTTCGGGAATGGTTAGTTGATGTTGATTTCGTTTTTGAGTAATTGATCTTGATCTTGATCTTGAGTTTGTGGGAGAGAAGGGGGTGCGGGGTTGGTTGATTAGAGTGGTTAGATAGGAATGTTTAGGTTGGAGGATGTTACGCACCTCGATTTTGGGGAGGAATCTGGTGAAGGCTGCATCGACTGGTTTTGTGGTGTCCATGTTGCGGGGGTCTATTGGTTTATGGATGCTTTCTATAATGGTGGTAGGAGTGGTGGTGGTAGTGGGGAGGAGGTTATGTTCTTTTGTTTCTTTCATGATGTGAATGCGGGGGAGATTTGACATGTTTGTCCATGTTTTCTTTGGGCTTGTCTGGTTACTCGTTTCTTTGAGAGGGTTTGGTCTCTAAGGAGGATCTTCAAAGAGGTTACTGTTTCTTTGTTTCTATTTTTAGGTCTGTACGATTGCGTGGTTGCTTTCTTGTACGAGGACTCTTGCATTCAATGCGGTGGTTATCAATATGTCTGAAAGTTCAAGAGGACTTTGGCAGCGATGCTCCCCTGTCAAATGACATATGGCGTCTCCGGCACTTCTCAAGCCAATTTTACTTCAAAAATATCCTAGCGGATGTGATTTCAAAAGGAGATACACGAAAGAAGAACAAACAAAAGTTACTCCCTGTTTCATCTTCCGATACCAAAGTCTAATGGCTAGTCCCCGTGTCGCAATCCCAACAGAAACATGACTCCAGAGGAACTGAATCGCGAGAGGGAAAGAGCCGCAAAGTAACCACTGGGGCAATACAAGCCCTCGTTCGTGGTTACATGAATCCTAGTCCCTGTCTGCAGCTTCGCCGTCCCGTCTAACATGCCATCCTACGGGTCCGGATACGGCTTGCAGCCCAATCACACGGGATGCAAGCGTGTTTGATATGGACGATCAGGTATGCAATGTCCCCGTCAGGCAAGTATGAGACCTGACAGCTCGTTGACATAAAGAGTCAAAGGCTGTGTCGGAGCTGTTAAGTTCAGTAGGACGTTTCAGTCAAAACCGCATATCCCGTCGGCTAGTTAGGGTTTGCAAAGTGGATGTCACTGATATCCATCTAATCCGGTGTGGGTCTGACGGCCGAGTGTTCCCAAGATTCGGGGAGATGAAACGTGGATCGTGTGTTATCTTATTCTGGTCTGGTCGGTTTTGTGTGTATGTAGCCTACCGTTTTGGACGAGTTCTGCTATTATCCCTCGCTTTGGTGCTATTGTGCTAGAGTTTGTCAATCTGCCCATGAGACCCGCGTGTATACCCGTTGTCATCTAGTGTGCTCTTGGTTCGCGAGAATTGCTCGCGAGGGTATGTTTTATTATGAGTCAATTAATTCATATTGATTATACCTTGATCAGGATGGCTATTGCCGTAAGGCCCCCCTTCTCCTCGGCTTGTGGATATGTCGAGATTAAAGCTCATATCAAGATACCGTGTGATGTCCTTGGCAGATCTGCGAGAACCCCATTCGCAATATCGATTTAATCGCAGTACTTACGCGAACTGATATGAAGCATACGTTGCATCCTGTTAGTCAGTCTCGTGTAAATTGGTGCCTTGCGATCCAAAGTTCGGATCTAATGAAAAGTGGAGAAAAGCGGCAGCCAAAGGCCGTAAGGCAAATAATGGGAGGGTCAAAGAACAAGGCAAGAGGGGAAAAAAAAAAAAAAAAAAAAAGAAAAAACCAGGAGACCAGTTCCGGAAGTCTGGTAGCCGGGGAAGCCATTCATTGTCTGACGATTATCCTGTAGCAATCAGGGATAATTCCCATCGTGCCGTGTTGGGGGACCTAAGCCTCATCATACATCGATTAATATCGTTGGCTGCCGCTCCCCACCAAGGTAATCGCAAGGAATTAGTTCCTTTGTTTAAGCCAACTGTGTATGACCACTCAGTACACGTTTTAAGAGCGATTTCCTCTGGAATGTTAGCTGTATGCAATCATCCGTGAGGCGGCCGTACGTTGCCTGCCAATGCGCCAGAAAAGCAATGGAACGTTACTGTGCCTCCCCCCAACCCCCAAAGGACGCGGCGCAGCACCGTAGCACAGACAAGATTCCAATCTGATAATCTCATGGCTGGATATGCCCCTACTAGTGTTAACCCCATTGGGTACTGCACATGCATCATCCAGCGTGTTGTCCCACAGCCTTCGTGGGGGCCTCTCGCCCGATCCTAGTCATAAAAACCGATGACATACGACTGGGATTGTCCGGGACCACGGCGCCGAGACATCCAGAGCCTTGTCTCTGTGCGGCGTGCACCGCCGCTTGTCGCAGCCAGTTCCCAGTTTCCCGCGTTTGTGTGCGCTGTGCGCGCTAGTCGTCGAAGAATTCTAGAAAAAAAAAACATGCTCCGTACCATGTGGATAATTGGCCGACGGGCGTTTCCATGGAGAAAAAAAAATCGTCCTATTTTTAGTTAGAAAACCGGGACTGAGTCACAGTGGAAACATGTGGAATCCAAGCAATAGACAAAGTCCGCCTTGAACACGCTCATTGGTGATACCTCGACTTAGTGACCCGTTGCCGATATGGCCAAGTTTGGTAAAACCAATAGTCGTCTGAGATACTCCGTATAATTCATGTGTAATGGTATTGACGCCGGCCGTAGAAGATACTGGGAGTGAATTCAAGAAGCACAATACAAGGGCATTAAGTTATTCTTGTTCCTTGTCTTCCATAGTTGTGCGCGCCAAATTGGTGCATAATTTGTACGGCAGTGGCGCACTGCTATCGGTTCGGACCGAGAGTAAAGTGAAAGGCAAAAGGAGCAAATGCAGAAGTCCACTCAAATGAAAAACGAAAAATGACGAGGGATAATGGGAAGCACAAGAACAAGCATTATGTAGACTAAAAACAAAAAAAAATAAAAATAAAAACAATGACCACTTGATACTCATGTGTATATACCATGCTGTAAAGCTTCAAGTAACATGAGACTACACCGTTTAGCTGTTAAAGGTTATCTATGGCAAACCGGCCAATGGCGGTAAAAGCTTCGGCGGCTCAGAGAGGCTTGAAAGGGTCAATGAGAAAATGGCAGCGCACAAACCCGTGTAAAAAAAAAAAAAAAAAAAACCTAAGGCAAAGGAAAGGATGAAAAAGATGGACAAAAAGGCCGGCAAGGGACGGTTACAGCATCAAGTGAGATCGGAGCAAACCCCGAATTAAACCTCCTGCGGCTGATAGTTCCGCAGAAACAACCCCTACCATTGCCACCGCAGTGGACCTGCCCTAGCGATGGTACTCTGTATCAATCGCGCGATATCAGTAACGGCTGTTTTCGTGGTTGCGGCTTGTCCAAGCCTCAGCAGATATCCATTGGTGGCTTCGCATCTCAAGCTGATTTTTATATCACCCAGCAGTAGGCACACACGTCAGACGGCAGCCGTGTAGCCGTCCGAGAACTGCCCCAGCAAGCATACGGATGCTTATGGCGGCCAATAACGGTATCTGTAAGCAAGAATGGAGTCGTGGAGCGGTACTAGATTCGCCAGAGGTGGGTTTCATGAGGGTGAGCTCTGACCTCGCATCCCGTGGCAAACAGCCAACCCGCCTGTATACAGCCATAAAGGAGGGCCGGGGGGGGGGGGGGGGGGGGGGGGGTGGGGGGGAGGATGGGGGGGTGGAGACAGATTAGAAAGCGAAGAGCGACCAAAGTTAAAAGGGAGATGAGGCAACATTAGGTATCAATGATCACGAGGCTCCATACGCAGGTAAGATGCGAACAAAGGCGTTGCTCATGCAAGCCGTCTCATAATAGGAGCGAGTTATGGACTATCCGCAAGCCACGAGCACGTTGTCTGGCTGGCTGAGAAGTCCGGCACTTGTGAACCCGACTGGACTATGTGCTGCATTGTTGGGAACAATCACAGGGGATTTGATAGCCTGGACGCGAACCCTGACAGCATGAATGACTGGGGTTGGGAAAAGGCTGAGAAGTATCGAAGACGCATCGAAGGATTGATGTGCATTCAGCTGAACTGAGCCTCAGGCAGAGATAGTGTTTGTTTGATTACATGGGCTATTGATTTCCTGGTGATGCCCCCAAATTACAATATTACTCCATGTTACACAATCCGTTTTTAATTTCCACATACTTCGTACCTTCCTACCTATCAACACTGAAACGCCTTGCCTGGTCCATTCCACTTCATTGAAAGAAAACTTTGAATACCATCTGTTGGGGAGCGATAGCTGTGTAACATGATTGAGTAATTCGCTGCGCAAATGGTAATTTGTAATCGTAGGCTCATTGGCTTAAACGGATAGAAGATTACAGTTTTCTGACGAGGACCCCGGCTCAAGAGGCGCAACGTTCCATCCAGTTGGGAACAACCAGTTTGCCTTGTAATTATTAGTTTCAAAATTCTTTTCCTTTTCGTCTTTTTCCCTCCTTGCGTGCTGTGGCTTCGGACAGTCCGGACGCCAAAGCTGATGTCCATGCGGTACGACCGGTACCTGAGTCACCTCTTAAGTGATGATGTAGTAGACCGTTAATCAAAGTTCTTTAGCAACGAGGAAAATTTCTGTTTTCGTCAAGTGGTCTCCTGAAGATCCGAGTCGCGACAACCCGTCGCCTGAAGTTAAAATACACTAACATTGGTGTTCAGAGACAATTTTTCTGTTTCCCAGGTGTTCTAATCCCCGACTTTTACAATACGCAAGGCAGATGGCCAAGCAATAATTCTAATCAAACCATCAAAATATCTCTGGGTTTTACTTATGATAGGGTTGTTGTGCGCTGAGGTACAACCCCCCATAAAACCAGAATGTTCGTTGTTTTGTACGGATGTATGTATGGTAATTAACCACGTAGTGTAATGACATGACAGCGAACGATAATGATTACCACGCTAATGCAGTTGATGTGGTAAGATGGTAACCACTATGCTGGGATACAATATCTCTCCTTTTCTTTTCTTTTTTTTTATTTCTTTACCTTCCCCCTCAGTTTCTCTTTCAAATGAACTCCCTTTGGGTCCTTCTTCCGTTTCGGATGGTGGGGAAGCACTTGCGTGCTAAATGGCTTATGATGTCATAACGTCTGTTCGTCATTTAATTGATCAACATAAAACATTCAAGTACGAAATTTGGTCTTACTCCAGGGAGCAAATCACCTATTACAAGGAGATTGAGCAATTCCACTCGGATTTTCTATACGCATACTAAAAGTTGTCATGGTGCGTCCAATTGAAGGTAAGCTTTTTCTTTTTCTTTTTCTTTTTCTTTTTCTTTTTTTTTTTTTTCCCTTGTAAAAGGGAAAAAGGTAAATGAAACAGAATAAAAGTAATATAAAATCTCTTGTTCACGATTTAACAAAACATAGAGGGTTAAGAATGGAGCCCGGCCGAAGTACATACAAAAATTAAAATAAAAAATAACAAAGGCATAAGGGAAACATCGGAGATGTTACAGAATACCTGATATACTATATTTCTGCCTAGTGCGATAGGGGGATAAATGATAGAAGAGCTCAAGGATTAGAGAATAAAGCAAGGGTTTTGCCCGTTTAACGCGTTCATCACACGTTTTGTTCGTGATCGTAGCCAGGAGTCCTCGGATGCAAGATCCTCAGTGGGAAACCCGCGATGGAAGGGGATTGGAAGCTGTCAAGTGGCCAAGTGGGCCACCGTTTAAAAACCTCTCCACGAGGCCGATGGAATGGGCCAATGACCATTGTCGGTTGGATTCCCCAAGGACGGTGCCCGGCAGGGTTGGTCTCCTAGTACTAGTAGTAGTGCCTAAGGGCTTTTCAGGTTCAACCACATTATCGTCAGACCGCTCAGGGGTGGTCACCACCAATGAGTGCAAATCATTGGATCATAAAAGGAACCCAACGGTTTAAATGACTCAGCCCCGGTAAGATGCCGAAATTGAGCACTATACTAATGCAGTAGACAGACTAGATAGGTAACAGTCTCAGTAATATGTGCTCAGCATGGATCCACAGTGATGAAATGAGATATGTATGTATGTACTGTATGTGCATACATAGAAAGCCAAGAGGCATGAAATGTTGAGTCTTAATGCCATCAATTATTAATGAGACCAATGCTACGTTGATACGACGGTCTCAGGCAGTCTAAACCTCAGGATCCTAAAAATTTCCCGGAGCCCCGGTACCATAGGTTTTAGCCTTGACTGAGCTGGTAAGAGTAGCAAACATGACCATCCTGGTAGCCGGTATTCCCGGTGCGAATGAAATGTTGCGCTACTGGTCACGGGCTCAGAAACCGAAGCCCATCGAATAATATCCCTTTTTGGTGGACTTTCGTGGCACGTCAGAGCACGGTTTAGTGGTACTCGTGGGAAGGTTAGATTGGCAGTACGGAGAATTATCCTCCCCCCTCCCCCTCTTTTGATCACCATGATTATTAGCGCCGGTTACCTACTCAGAATCAACGTTCCAAAAAGGACTGAACTGATGACATGACAATATACCATATACACACAGACCTCGGACACTAATACTTCCCTAAGGGTAAGGATAAATAAGTATTAATAAAAGAACGCAAGGAGCAATCACAACTCTTAGAGCACGCGAGACGGTGATAACCTAAAACCACGAGCCTTGTTCTCCGCTTTACTTCCCCTCTGATCATCGCCAATGTTATCGATTGTATGGGGGGAGGGGTAGGTCTACAACGAATTGTTTCTCGCCCTATTATGTATCTCTGTATAGCGATATGCAACTAAACACATGCAGTAAAAACCCTGGAAAGGTGACCCTACTTACAAGTACCATCGGGTAGCCAAGACATCGAAACATCACACTAGCAAGAGGTTTAGGCCTCTTATCGCCCGCTTCCTACGGAGATTTGTCTATAAATGTACATATGTACAGCCGCGCGTTGATCTTAGGAAGGGAATATAAACTGATCTGTTACAACTCCTTGCGTCATGGCAGTGTATTCACTCGTAGGTGAGACCTAAATAAAAGGATACCAGTATTATGTTCATTACTACCTGATACAGATTCCCGCCACAGCCGCGATATCAGTTTTGATCCATCGGTCGGGGTTTTTATCGGGTATCGATCTTATGACAGAGGAGATGATGAATGAATTTGCTTACTTTGCTTTCATACATACGCCCACATGCCCTGAGCACCCTAGTAGATTCCTTATTATTCCAGCAAAAGCAGTAGGAGATTTAGGATAAGAAGAAACAGGGAAATATCATTGTAATACCTACTAATGCATCAGGTCATTCGCATCCCAAAAATAGCCTGCCATTGGAGGAGGAATCAGCCTTGTCTGGAAAAGGCTAATGGAAGCCCAATTTTTTGAGACATTAAGGTTGGGAGGCATACTAGTTAATCTAATCAGACCTTGCCTGCTCCATGGAAGGATGAAAGAACCTTCGATGGATAAATGATTTGGTTGGACGCTGAGCCGATAATGCCCGATAGCCGACAACATCATTTCTTCAAAGATCTTGGTAGGGATGATATCGACGAAGAAGAACAAAGAGACATTGCTTTATCTATATTTAGTCCCTTTCTTGCTCATTTTTAATTGTATATTACTCAATAATACTAATGATCATGTTGTCCCTGTTAATTCAAATTTAAAAACTAAACAGAAGTATATGTGTGCATCGAAATTGCTCTAAGAACTGGCTGACATAGGATTCCGAGGGAGGGGAAATGCGCAATTTTGGTCTGCCTAAAGCAAAACTCCATCATCCCACTTTCTGATGACCTTTATGCCTCATCAATGACCAGTGGTGAGCTGAATACTCAAATGACAAGCAGAACAAGGAAGATAAGCATTGCCAACTCAGCAACATGGCTCAGCTGTAGTGCGGGGTTCACACCCCACGAACCATTTTTTTTCTTGTTTTATTTGGATTTTTTTATTATTATTTTTTCTCTCGCACCTGTTTTGAGGGTCCTACGGTTGCCTCCCGCTTTTGGGAGTCACGATGCATTCAAGCTGGTCGCATTATTATCTGTTTCTGGTTTACCGCCAAGGCGTGCTCTGTGGGAGCAATACGGAAAATATATGACCTGTTAGCCAACTTCGTTGGTGTCCAACCACACAGGCATTGGTAGATGGGATGACTACCAAGTAGAAGCCATGCTGGACTACTCCGTAAGTTCTTTATCTCATAGGGTAGAGAAGTGGAGAGCATAACGAATAAAAGATATGTTGAAATAAGACCGATCGGATAGCATGCAAAACAGGTTCCACGAGTTCAATGCTCTATCAATTCTCATTATCGCCCAAGCTATGAATCGTGAATTACACTCAACAGACAAAACAAAGGCTGACTGACCGCTCTTCTGAGACGGTGAGAATGTACTGTGATACTAATACTAGTAGTGGCTAGTAATGGCCTCAGCATGTCCTAAGTAGTCAGTTAACGATAAGCCCTCAATAGTAGGGTATAACCCACAAATATTAATAGTACCAGTAGGTTGTATTTCTGGTTTGTAAGAAAAGGATAAATATTACCCGGCTGTGTGAGGAAATACCTGACTAATTACTAGTTCACCAAGATTAGTATGGGGCTAAGTTGCTGCCTATGAGAATCCCCCAAAGGATCTGCTGACTAGTGGT